CGATGCCGCTAATAGGAGAGGAAAACAACATCGAAAAAGGTGCTCAGTGGGCATGCAGATTAAATATTTAAAAAAAAAAAAAAAGATTTCTGACGCAACATCAAAATGTAAAGCTTGCATTAAAAGCATAAAGCAGAACAGATGTAAAAATGTACACAATAAAAGTTAAAATATCTTGGGAAAAAAATACGGCAACTTAAAAATTATTTATTCTAAAAAAAGGATGTGTTGACTAAAAACAAAAGTGTACCCATTTTGGAAGCATAATAGGGACATTTGCTGATGTCGCCTCCTGTGTCTCCATGAATTGGCATTCCGTCTTCGGAAACCTCCTCTTGAAAGGTTTTGCCGATTTCCTCCAGCTCCTCGAAAACCTGACAGCAGAAAACATTTAGTTTGACTGTAAACTCCAACTGGGAGTGACAGTAAACAGCTTGAATCCCTTTTTGAAGGAACTGTTTACTATTTAGTTCTGCCTATTGTGAAAGACGCCATCTACCTCCAAATCTTTGCTCACAAGTCAAAGCAGAAAATTGGACAAACAGCTTGTATCTTGAAAAAAATTGGTCACTCGTATCTGAAGGCAGCACTGTTATGTGACAAGTCTACTTTAGTCTTGTAACAAAGTATCTGTACCTGGTTACATTACAAGACTGCCATTTTACCTCCATGTTGAATTGAAAGGCCTTGACAGCCTCGTCCACCAGGCTGCTCTTGGTCTCCGCATCCAGTTCCAACTCGTTCATGCGACTGCGGTAAAGCTGTTTGAAGGCCTTGGCACTATCGATGGCGTCAAACTGGTAGAACTCCACGCCCTCTCCCGTGGGTGGGAGCTTCAAGGCTCTCTGCGCCACCTTCTTCAGCACCTGGCCCCCGGACAGGTCGCCCATGTAGCGGGTGTAGGCGTGCGCCACCAGGAGCGCCGGGTACTCCTGGCCCACTTGGTGGATGCGGTCCACGTAGCGCTGGGTGGCCGGGGAGCAGCTGATTTCCCTCTTCCATTCCGGGCCGTAAAAGTATTCAAGGTCACGGGCCAGGGCCTCGTGGCGGTGCAGCTCGGACGGGAAATAAAGCGGGGCGAAATGGGGGTGGTCCTTGTTTATTTCGATTTCCTCCTCCATGGCGGTGTAAGTGTAGTAGAGGGCTACGGCGCCCAGCTGTTGGGGGGGAAATATATCAATCATCTTTTCATTTCCATAAAAGCCATCTGTGTGGCTTTCATCTCCATGTTACTCACCTTGAAGAGCTCTCTGCGGATTCGGCCCCTGAGGAAGTCCTTCACAAATTGTGTGTTCTCTGCCTTTTCATGAACATCTTTGGTACCAGCGGCCAGCATCTCCGATAAATCATCGGGCCTGTGGCGAGGAAATGAATAATGCACTGTGGTCACGTTAACATGAAAGCAGATATGGCCAAACCTTTTCCACTGAGAGGCGCACAGAGAAAAACCGAAGGAAGGAGTGGTCGGTTCACCCTTAAGTTTATTCGACATGGCTAGAAATAATGCATCAACAAAAATTGAATTTAAAAACAACGGTGTGAGAAATGGTAATATGATATTAAAAAAAACAAAAACAAAACTGGTGTGATATCTTTTGTGGTTCAACATTTCACATTCACATCATTAAATAAAAAAAATGTGAAATAGGTTTACATTAATATTTGACATGTTTTTCTCTTAAATTTCTTGTACATTTTAATTTTTAATTGTGAAAACAAACATTTTTTTTCCCTGTAAAAAAAATATTAGATTAGAATATGTGAGAGGCCAACAACTTAAAAAAAAAAAAAAAAAAAAAAAAGAAGAAAGAAAAAAAAGGCTTTTGGTTGGCATTTGAACCCGGGCTAAAATTTGGGACTGGGAAGTGTGCTTTGCTGCACACTTGGCAAACAACTCTCCGTCAACATTGTAATTGTATATCTTGTGTTCTGTCTTAAGAAATGCTGCAAACACAAGGGGAAGGTTAACCTCAGAGTTTCTCCTTTGTCCTCGTGCACGGGCCCTCCTCCATTGGACACACTCTCTGTCGTTGTGGCCATCTTGTCTGACGGTTGCCGCCCCTAGAAATCGGTCAAGACATCAAAAACGTTACCTTCTAGTGTAACGCCACAAAAAGTGGTATAATTTAGAGTTCGGGTAACATTTAGTGGAAAATAATGTAACTCAAAAATCAAGGTTGCCAGTGATAGGAAAGAGGGGAAGTGTGATAATCCTTGAACTGTAAATACAAATTACTGGAACATAGGAATGAGCCTAATGGCTCAATACAATATAAGCAACACAATTCGGTGCATGTAAATTACATTGAACGTGACATTTGTGTGTGTATTATGGAAAATCCAGTTATTAATTGCATTTGTAGAAATAGTTAGGTCTCCGGAGTGCCTGCCTATCCATCAAGTGGGTGGTCGTGGCGGGGCGCTGCTTTTTGGTGGTGCGTCACATACACACGGTGGAGCAAATGACGTGCTGCCTCCATCGCCTGTAATGTTGTGCCCGTCATTGTATAGTGTACAAAGCTACAAGGCACGTGACCGATTGGGATGAGTAATCACTTTGCCATTGTGCTGTCTGAAGTTCTCACACATTGAGACAAACAAAAACGAGGAAATAACAGATTGGACGGAAGTGAAAAGTGTGATGTGAGATTGTTGGACAATATCTGACGTGGCACATGCCGAGTTTGTATTTTGTCTATGGTCATTCAAGCTCCGATTTAAAAAATAATAGATCAGACATTACTTACCAGTTATTCAGTACGTGAGTCGTTTTTTGACTGAGCACTTCATCTCGTTAAGTAATTTTCGCAGGATTACTTTTTACCTTTGCTTTTGTTATTTTGACTTCAAATTGGCGCTGCGAGAGTGGCTGCCTTTCCAGCAGCTCCTATATTTTGTTGTTCTACTTCTTCCTTTCATAACTTTGCTGCTGTGAATTGGGAATTTCTCCATTGCGAGACTAATAAAGGTTTTCTTCTTCTTCTTGAATCATATTATTCTAAATTAACCATACTTACTTGACCTAATTTTTGGCTCGACTACCCATCTCTGATTACACGCAGAAAGAGGAAGTGCAAATTTACCAAAGAGCCAGAGGATGCTCGGATCAGGATAAAGGGGGGCTTTTGTGGCCCTGCTGTGTTGTTGTTGTTGTCCCTGAGATTATGGTGATGAGGATGATGCCCACAAGATTCCAGACTCTCTAAGGGTGAAAACAACAGCAGGTTGAAAGCTGATACAAACAGGCCTGGTGTACCAGTTAAATAGGACAGAAGGTCTGCTGACACCACGGTGGCTTCAACCACACGACTACTGGCAGACAAAAAGCAGCAAAACAAAAGGCCTTGTGTCGTTTCACGTAGATTCTAGGCGCCATGGCTACAATTTAGTCACATATTATCGATAAGAGACATTTTCAACTTTCATCTAAATACGACTGCGGTATTGCGCCTTTGTTTCGGACAACATTGCATATAAAACGTCATTATGACAACAATAGCTAACTTTGCTTGCTAACAAGACACAAGCTAATACCTAGCAAGCTCTCGTCTAAGTTCCGCAATGAGGTGGACGACAGATTTATGACAAAAACACATATTTTCAGCCTTTTTATTTACTTCAACAGTTCAGATTTAAAACAGCTCAATGGTGGGTTTCTATAACGCCGTACAAACCTTCACTCCAGCAACTACGCGTCGCTCGGGTGAACCACAGAACTCGAGCTAAACGTCCACTGCGCAAGTTAAAACCACCACAACCTCCCTGACGCTCGTTGGTCACGTGACAAGGCCACATGGTTTTAAAAAAATAAATCATAAAGTGCTGAGTGCGCAAGTTTCCAAACCTTTTTATTGAAATAAATACAAGCGACTGTCAAAAGGCTGAAAGAAAGAAATACACTAGAAAGGTGATCTATTTCAACAAGTGGCATTAAATGACTAAGCAAAAACAACTACGTTACGCATTGCACTTGCCTCTTTTTCCGAAACTACTAAACTACTTTGTGGTTTTATTTCCGAACGGTTAACCTTTGTTTATTCAGGTAAGGCAATTGAAATCAGATTATTGCAATGCCAACCTGGCAGCAAACAATATAGAAACACAAAGCGAAATAAAAGTACATAAAATGCATGCACAACAAACTAGGTCACAGTTACATATTTATGTAATACGTAACATAAAAGAAAGTGGTAAATGAAAAGTGCACTGCAGGCTAAAAACAGGTGCAACGATCATAGACAGTATCCCTCACTAACTTTTTAAACAATTTTGGGATGAATGAGGTGAATTTTATTATTTGTTGAATGAGGTTCCAGTCATCTGGAGCAGAAATAGAAATAAGAATACTTTTACGATGCATGTTTATTCTATTTTCAACCAGTGATCTATACATGTAAAGATTAGAAATTGAGGATAAAATGGGTACTGCATAGAGCACATACTAGAGATATTGCATTTATGATGTCTTCTTTAATGTTTTCAATGTATTGTGTTCAGACAACTGAAAATGACAATTTTGCCTGACCCTTTAGTCCTCGCCAGAAAAAAAAAACAATTTCTCTGGACCCGAGAAATCTAAAACACATGCTTACGAACTGTACATAAATACTTGGATACGTACAAGATGAACAAATAAACACTTGCATGCATATGGTAGAGGACATGTGACAGACGAGGAAGCGAAATAATATTGTGGAGATGTGAATATTAATACCCATCATTAGTATGGCAGATGGCTGCTTTGATTGTTGGCACCGAGGGGGTAAGATGATGAATGAGATGAGGCATTCTTTCCAACGAGGCCAGCAAGCTGCTGTATTTCCAGTAACTTGATTTTGGGAGCATTTCTATTCAATGCAAGGAGAACTAAAACAGTTAAGGAAAATGATCGATCCGAGTTAACAACTGCACGTTGGGGCGAGTGGTAGCACTTCTCGCGAGAGTTGGCACACCAAGATGAAACAAAGTCACAATGTTGTCTTCTGTCGTTTTTAATGTGAATAAAAGTCATATTTATTCAAACGGGGTACAAGAGTTTTAAGAATTGTCGTTATTCACACAGTCCAGTACTATCTTAACCTTTTGTGACTTTGCTTCCGCATACGTCATACGAATTCGCCGGCTGGCGCTCAGTTGTTTTTTTTTTTTTTGAAGAAAATACAACCGACGATGGCTTGCTCTGACACTTTCAATCGACTAATCCTACTTTTAATGTTCATTTAAAGTGAAGAATAGTCCAAGAAGTATGTCGCTGCTTTCCTCCGTCGAGACAGCAATCAAGTCGTGCAAAGACGAACAGGCGAGGGTGAACGGCCGCATTCAATTGTACAAAGAACTACTACAAAGTTTGTAAGTACTGTATATTACATCACGTTTGACCTTTCGGTTAGCATATTGTTGACTCAATGACGATTGAATCGTAGAAATACTGCCTCATATGGCACCTGGCGCTGTGGCTTAGTTGGTTAAAGCGCCTGTCTAGTAAACAGGAGATCCTGGGTTCGAATCCCAGCAGTGCCTTTTTTTTTGACGTAATGTTCTGTTTCATTGCAATCTACATCAAACTGTCGCCAGGCCGATTTTATTGATGTTGTCACACATTAAGTTCATTGTATCACTGTGTTAACGAAAATGTAATGTTTGAGAAAAGCATTGAAAGTACAGTAGTATCGTGAAATTAAATTTGTGTCAGTGTAATTTGATTCTATTGAATGTATTTGCTAAAATTGCTTGGTTCCATATGATCCTGTCTTTTCCCTACAGGACAGCTCCCGAAGAGCCAGAACCAACAACGGATGGTCTGATAGGTAACTTTAAGTAAATAAAATGTATTTCTGTACAAAGAAATTGAAAACCGTTGTGTTAAATATCTGTGAGTCAGTTAGCTGGAAGATTAGATGCAACATAAGGAAATAATATTTGTATAAACACATAACATTAATAAATACATTTTTAATTATTAATATATGCATTCTTGATGGTCAGTGACTTACTTGTGATTCTACAACAGGGATGGCCAATTAATTTGCAAAGGCTCTTGTCCAGTGGTGGGCGCGGTAGTGAACTTCCATTATTCAGCAGCAGACCCGGAAGTCCATCATTATTTCAGGCTGGCCCAGTCCATTCAGATAAGATAAGATAAGAAAAGAAAACCTTTATTTGTCCCACAATGGAGAAATTCCCAATTTACAGCAGCAAAATTATGAAAGGGAGAAAGTAGAAGACAAAAAATATATATAAATATAAAATATAAATATAACCATATTAAAAATGAGTGACTGGGGGTGAGTCCAGGTTTTCAGGACCGTCTATTCAATAGCCTGACAGCAGTCGGCAGGAACGGCCAGAGGATATAAATACAAATAATGCTGTTGTAATGCCAAATCCAGCATGTTAATCAATGGAATCGGTTGGTTGGTCGGTCGATAGGTTTTACTTTATATCGATTTCAGTCATATAGTGGCACCATCTGCCATTTGATTTCTTGAGGGTAAAATAAAATGTCTTTTATTTGAGTTAAGGTTCTCATTTATTTTAGTGAACGAAGCTGGGGACATCACATCGCAATTAGTTGGCCGACAGAGGCCACTATTTGAGGAAATATTGAGCTAATTAGATTGTGCAAGTGATACCTACTGAATATGTATAGTGTCTCGATATACAGTACATCGTGAAAGAATGTGTGTGTGTGTGTCTTTTCAGACACAGCACCTTCATCCTCAGTGGAGACACAAGAAATGAAACTGCTTGAGGAAGCATTAGAAAAAGCCCTACACGTGCGCGCTGGCACGAAGCTTTCCAGTAAAGACCCCAAGGGAAACAAACCCACTCATTTTCAAAAGGACCTTGCCACCTTACCCAAAGCGATGACGATAAAAGCCTCTTTTGCCTTCAAAGGAAATCAAACTGCCAGCAAAGCAACCCTCAAGTCTGCCAGCAGTGACAAAAAAGCGCCCGAAAAGCCTGTGACGTCTTCGAGATCCTCAACCGCCTGCGGTCCCGGAAAGCATAAAAGCGCCGTTTGTAAAAATTTGCTTAAGACCCATTCGAAGACGATGCATCAGGCTATAAAAAGTGTCCAGCAGACTCCCCCAGTTAGCATCACCGATGGAAGCATCACGCCAAGTGGTGAGCTCAAAGTTTCAGCTGCAACAGCGTCACATGACAAAGGAGGCACGGGAGATCACAGTCTGCCTCAACCAAGAAGGTACAGTAGACCTGCAGTGCTGTGAAAAAGTACTTTCCCTCTTCCTGATTTCTGTGTTCTTTGCATATTTACAACGCACAAACATTTCAGCTCATCAAACCAATTTTAGTATCGCTCAGAGACAACCCAAGAAAATGCAGTTTCTAAATGCCAATTTAATTTCTTGTGTACACTATTTCACAGCACTGTAAATAGTAATGCGTTTTACGTGATGTGAAAATCTGCCATGAAAAGAGAACATGCCCATGACAGCAAAATGGAGACTATGGAGTTTTAATCCAACAGCGTCCAGAGCTAAAAGCACAGCAGCATTATAAGATAGCGTTCCCATGTGCGTTTATTTTTCTCAAGTTTGTTTCTCTCCCGCCAGCGCGGTGAACGAGCAGAAGGAACGGTGGATCTGTCTGAGGCTCAAAAAAAACAGGTGGGGCAAAATCTCTCTTTATGTGTTCGACTCTGGTACAGCTCTTTTTTCACTTTCTTATTTCCTTGTTTCCTTCCTCGACAGAATGTGGGACAAAGTGCTGGCCGCTCAAAGGAAACCTGCGCCCGGGAGGAGTCGCTTCATGGAGAGAATGAGAGCAACGGTATATCCTTCCTCTTTTCTCATGACGTCTGTCAAATTGCTCTTGGAAAAGTTCCGCGCAGATTTTCCCCCCCTGCTGTGTGTCACAGTTTTACTCACAGGACAGTTCTTTAGGTACACCTGTTTGTTCTTAATGAGATGCTTGTGGAGGCTCTCAGTCGTACAGGAAAGTTCCATCGTAGAAAGGGTTCTGTCAGTCGTCATCTGTACCTGTGGGTAAAAAACAAAAAACAAAAAAAAAAAAAAAAGGACGTTTCGCTTCTCTCACAGAAGCTTCGTCAGCGGTAGACAACCCTGAAGTCTCCGTGAAGACTCCGGGAAGTTGCTCTGCGCTAAAAGGCTGAGCGTGGCCTGTTTGAGGACTGGGTGGGGATGGTTAGTCACGCCCCTATGGTGAAGAGGCCCATTGGTTTCTAAACTCCCTATCATTGGGTCTTGATTAGGCCTATTGTTTGGGCTAAGGCTGAATAGCTACTTTCAGTTAGCCTGATCAGCATGTCTATGTCCCTTACTGGTCAACAAGTTATTGTAAATAGGAGACAGGTTAAATCTGATACCTCCTTCACGGTTCAGAGAGGGTGAAAATTTTTTAACAAAAATCGCTTCCTTTACTCCCCTTTCAAACCATCTCTTTTCTGTTCCTAGGATTTTTACTTGTTCATCTTCAATTGTGTGGTTTGGTTCTTTTAAGTGTGCGTATACTGCACTTTTGTTATCATTGTTTTTCCATTTGTGTTGATAAAGTCTTTTCTTGAGGGTTTGTTTGGTTTCTCCGATGTAATGTTCCTTGCACTCACTTTCTTGGCAACGGATGGAATAAATCAGATTGCATTTTTGGGTGTTAGGAACCCGGTCTTTGGGGTGTACTAGTTTTTGTCTCAATGTGTTTATCGGTTTAAAATAAACAGGAATATCATGTTGTAGAAATATTCTTTGTATTTTCTCTGAGAGGCCGGCAATATAAGGTACACAGCCACCCCTTCTCTTCTTTTCTCTCTGTTGGTTGGTTTCCTCTCTGTTTGTTTTAATTTTCCTAACTTTGCCAAAGGCCCATTTAGGGTAGCTACACCCTGACAATGCCTTCTCGATGTGTTTGACCTCACTCTCTCTCGACTTGGTGTTGGTGGAGATTTGGCTCGCTCTGTGTTCAAGTGTTCTAATTACACCTAGCTTGTGTTGCAGCGGGTGATTGGAGTTGAAATGCAAATACTGATCTGTGTGCGTGGGTTTTCTGTAGACCTCAACCTTAAGAGTTTTGTCCTGCTCTAAGCTGACCTTGCAATCCAAAAAGGCCAGTGCATTGTCTTTTGCGTCTTCTCTGGTGAATCTTAATGAGATGAAATACAGAAGCTGTTTAAAAAAAAAAAGTATTTTCAAAGATAATAAAGCAGTTTTTTGATTGACTGGAATATGATTGTTGTATTTATATTTATTATTGTCATCATCTGCGCCACAAGGTTCCATTTTGGTCCATTTGCAAAGGTTTTTTTTTTCTGTATTATTTTTACAAGGCCCTTTGATTGTTGAGAAAAATCCTGACAATGACTATGTCAATATATTATGGCTCCAATTAATGATTATTCAATTAATCGATTAATAGGTTGTTTTTGTGTTAATCAATGATTTGGATTATAAAATATTTCCATCCCTTGAAAAAAAATGGACATTATTTTAAATGTATAGTGCACCAAATGCAGAAACATTAATTGATGTCTGCAAATGTCTTATCAGTCCGCTTTCATGGAGGATGACGGAAATCAGAGAATATGTAGTGTTGAGGCGTTGAAATCCAGGAGAAAAAAAAGTTTAAAAAAATATATAAATTGAATTTAATTCGAAAAATCACCATTATGCATTTCATTTAAAAGCAAAAATAAAAACACATTCACAAGCCTTTTCTATCTAAATTTCAGTTTGCTATGCACCACGAGACTCGTGGTTTGCGCGTCCGCCTCACAGTCGAGATGTGTGTGAAGTTTGCATGTTCGCCCCTTGTTCGCGTAGGTTTTCTCCGGGGACTTCCTCCCACATTCCAAAAACATGCATGTCAGGTTCATGGAAGACTTTAGGCTATGTTTGGAATCACAGCCTGTATAGTGGAATCACCATTTTATCTTGCCACTCGAATATGTAGTGAGATAAGGTTATTTCCTATAAAGTTGCCCTCAGTATATCACACATGCAATGTATCTTATACAACCAAGTATTCTATGAGTATGAAGTATTGCGCGGATTCCTAAAAAAAAAAAAAAAAAAAAAAAAACACAGATGGACAGAAAGTACTTCATATATGTTTTGGGGTTGTTGTTTTTTTTTTTTCAGCTCACATCGATCCGGTACGTTGTCATTTTGCAATAGCAATCATGTACGTAATTAGTGTCACGCTTAAGTAGTGCTCCAAAAGGATTTTTTCATTTGGCTGATGGGTTAATTAAAAATCACGCTCCCATTTGGTGATTAGAGAGTAGGGCCTGTGTTGGGAATCATAATCTCATTCCATACTCAGGCCCACAGAGTGAAATGGATTGAAACACTGCATTTTCTTGAGAAATATGAATACTTACCATGTTATGTGTGCTTTTCTCAATGCGACGTTTATAGTTTCCCAAGGACTGGCCACCTGGAAGCCCGGAGCAGATCGGACATCTGGTTAGCAGACTGACTCACCGGGTTGATGACCTCGCCCAGCGTTGCCAGACAATGGACCTTCTGGACCAACAGACCCCAGAGCAAGGCGCGGAACTGGGTAAAATCCTCAGGGCAACGAATTACGAGTGAATCGGGGAAAACAAATCCAGCTGTTGGGTGGTGCAGGTTGAGTTCCAAATTATTTTACACAAATTTTGCCATTGGGGGAAAAAATGGGAAGGCAGCAGAGTGAACTAGTGGTTTGGGTGTCTGCCTCACTGACGTTCTCTGGTAGAATTGTCCTCCCACACTCCAAAATAATTTGATGTTAGGTTCATTAAAGACTCTTAATTGTTCAACGGGCTACAAATTGATGGGTGAAAATAAAATAAAACAAAACTACTCACCCTTTGAAGATGCCTGACACTAACATAAGGAAACAGGAAGGTGTTTGCGGAGGGATTCGGTCACCTTGTGGCTCAAATAATTGTAAATGTTGCCACAGTGATCAGAAGCAACTTTTGGGCCGTTTTTAATTAACCTTGACAGAAGCGCAAAGCATGAGAAGAGGAAGAACTTTATATTTTGAATTCCATCCAGGCATTTTTATTTTTACTTTGACCTTGGCAGAGGCCTGAGAGCTGGCAGGAAGTGGTTATCTGTCTGAGAAATTTACACTGCCTCGCATCTCATCTCCATTTTTGTATGACTGCAAGCCAAGACGGCTCCAAAGCACATTTCCATTGAAAAACTCACATTTCCTTTGCCTTCATGATCCATTTGAAATTATTATTATGATTATTATTATTATTATTATTCCTTTTTTTTTTTTTTTTAACCACTGCAGGGATTAAAGAAAATTTGTGTCTAACGCCTGAGAGACTGCAAATGACAGCAGTGGAGCTGCGGAATGTTGCAGAGCAAGCAAAACAAGGTCGAAGTTTTTTTTTTGATTTATTTTCCATTTCTTTGCTAATTCCCTGTGAAAGGAACCCAACAATGTGGTCACATTTTTTATTCTGCAATAGATACCCTAATCCTAATCTCATTTTCAAATAAAATATTTACTTTTTTTTTTTTCAATTTCATACTTGATGGGGTGGTCAGGTACTCGGGAGACACAGTTTTGTAAACAAGTAATTAAAAATAAAATTTCCATAACGTGTCCCCTTGGAAAGCCATTCGCGCTGTCGTGGTTCGTCAAGCTATTTCAAGTGGAGGCAGCAAACGTTTTCGGCTTACGGTTGCTCACGCTCTAAAAATAGCTGCGTTTTTTTCATCAGAGTGGCAAGCCTGGGATCGATGGAGGCCAGAGGGAGTTTGCCTTTACGCCGCCGGGCCAGCGGAAGGTGAGGCGATCGCGCGCCGTCTGCCCGTGACTATCACTTACGGCTCAGAGTCTGAGCTGCGGCAGCTGGAAGCAACCAGGATGAGAGTGGCTCTGCTGCAGCAGGAGATTTACATCCAGCAGGTGAGTGTAGCACACTGCCCTCAGTTATAAGGACATTCATATTTGCTCGAAAATGAAATTGCTTTGGAAATTGGACGTGAGTGGTAAAGAGCTTATGCCGGTTGACTTGTTGGAGAGCTGATTTCAATGGAAGAGAAGTTGACAATGAGACTGAAAAAAGGATGAAGTTGGGTTTGAAAAAAGAGTTTCCATAAATTTGGGATTTTTGTGGAAAACGTGGAAGACTGAAAAATGCGTGTGTGTGTGTGTGTGTGTACGTGTGTGTAAAATGTGAGAAACGTGGGAATATTGGGGAATGTGAAAAATGCAAACCTGAATTTCTTGAAATTTGTGAATATTAGGAGGTTGAATGGGTTCAGTCGTTTGAGAAACGCGGCATAATAATGAAAATATAGAATTTGGGTGTAAAATAATATTTTAAAAGCTATTTAGCTTTCACGCCATAATCCGTTTTTATAAACGTTGCAATGAGCTGATGTTGCCTCGTGCATCTGACAGGCTCTGCTTGACGCTCTATCCCCTCAACTGGCCTCCATCGTCCCTTCTTGTACGAACTGCAGTGTGCTGAGAGACTTGTACTCCCTCCTGGGTGAAGGAGGTCAGCGTTTCCCTGTTATCGTCCTGGACCCCGAGCCTGAGTAATGATTGTCCCTCTTTTCAAATCATCAAGTGATTGTTTAGTATTACGTTTTCCTAAGGAATTAATCGTGAACTTTTCATTTCTTGTATCGTGTGAGATGCAAAGAAGACAATTGCAGATCTGAAATAAAAAAAAAATACAAGAACCTCGACACTTTTCAATGTCATGATTTGTAATGTCCGTCCATTCATTTCCTATATTGCCTATGCCAGGGCACTTACGGAGATAGAGAACCATTTGCAATAAGTGGGAACTGAACCGACGCAATAAAGTCCGGTAAGTGAACCACTACTTTTTCCATGAGGTGTTTGGTTACATATACAGTATGAGCATAAAATTGCATGAGTTGTGTTCATTTTCCTGGCGCCATTGTAGTTTTAAACTGGGAAAATAACCGTCTTCTGGTCGTGAATACTAAGACAGCGAGTATCAAAGATTAAAAAAAAAAAAAAAAGTGAAACTTTTCCAGCCATTGCAACAGACCATGTATTATACTTCAGGGAATTGAGAGATGTCACTAAAATACCTCAACTGCACGCGCAGAATCCCGAACCTGAAAGTAATTCACCATCTGTGATCCAGAGAAACTCAGCAATTGTGAGGTGAGGGGAGTACGTCGGAAGCCTTCGGGGAGGCTTTAAGGGCTCGTACCCGCAGATGACGTATGGATAGCCTCGGCCTCGCCAGACGGGGCGACAGGTGGTTCTGTGTTGACGCAGCAGGACGTGGGTGTTTGAGGCCTGCTGAACACACCAAGGCTGAGATGATACACACGGGGAGCGCCTTGGCCGTATGCTGTGATCTGGAAATGCCAACGTTTCCCCTCGGGGGGGTTGCGAGAAAAAGAGCTGAAGTTCAAATGTTCTGCTAAGTGAGTTTTAATCAATAAAAGCACTCAAGAAGCAGTCTGACTGAGTGTGAAAAAGAAAAAGGCAGACCTCACCTCCAGGATCAGAAGTGGCAGACAGCAGCCATGCATTTTTTTTTTTTTTTCTAATAACGCAGTGCGCCGATGGGCCTCCATGTAGTGCGATGAAACATCCTCAACCAGACCGTATCGTATTCAACACACCGGTCCCGATGGGCGTGGCACCTATACGACGCTGCCTTCCTCTGACCTGAATGCACTAATGCATTTCAACCAGAGTGCAAGCAGCTAATCAGTTTCTTACACTCTGGCTGTCACCAGCTCAGTTCTCCCATTCCCACCAGTTCGATCTGTCTCATGCCAGCGAGCCATGTTTCTCTCCGTTTATCCCTATACCCTTATTTTCCAGAGAGGAGGAAGATGTTTTGTTTCCCCATCTCAAAAATGTAGCGATCAACAGTTCTATGGCCACTGGTTGCGGGGTAATGTTCCGAGGGTTTAAGCATAACTGCAGTAAAGGCCAATGAAAAAATTGCCGTGCTCGTCCAACTAGGTCAACAGGGTGTGAATGTGAGCGCGAATGCTTTTCTACATGCGTCCTACGACTGACTGGTGACCATTCCACAGTGTATATTGAAGAAACCTCAAACAGGCGGGGTTGAGCAGATGGGGGGAGGAATGAGAGAACACTGGGCACAACAACAGCCGTATTAACAACGATAACAGTTCCATGATGGCGGCGCAATGAGAGAGAGCGCGATAAAAGAGAAATAGGAAACCTTTCTGTATGGTTGCTGATGAGGTGAGAAGGGCAGAAAAGAGGGAGGGTAGCTCTGCGCATCCTCAAAAATCAAATTATTTCTTCTTTCTCTTTTTGGGGATTTCCCAATGCATATTATCAACAACTTGTCACTCTCAGACTGGAATGGTGTGCGTGTGGGTGTGGAACCCTCCATTTCCCACTTAACAGAGGCTAAAAAGAAATTCCACAGAAACTCAAAAGCTCCCCCAGGAATCTCTGCGTGCTCTTGAGCATGTTGTTTTCTCCTCGAGTGCTCACAAAAACATTCCTCTCCTCCCGTCCCCTGCTTTGTTTCTCCTCTCGAGTTCTCCTTTGGAGCAACAGCATTGGCCGCTTAGTCACTATGTTCGTCTGATCGACTGCATTTGGGCGTGCTGTATTCTTTATTTCCATTTCCAGCATTCTCCTGAGCAAGGCGTTCTCCTTTCGCAGAAGGGAAACTGTCTCTAACGGGAAACATCTCGAACGGGAAAAGAGTGAACTGTATCTTAGGGGATCTTACACTAATGGAAACGTGGTTGGCTTACATATGAGAATATTAGGTATCCAATTATCTCGTAATGTGGGCCTTGAGGAGCTGGCCTTCCTTTTGATCGAATCACGACGAGACAGCCAAAGTCATGCTACTTCCTGCAATTTTTAATCCTTAATTCATTTTGGTCGCATTTTCAGTCGTTAAAGATTATCTACTCACCGGCCATGATATCTGGTACCTAAGCACCACCTATAGGGAACACCGTATGAAAAGAATGCAGGTTCTGAGGATCGGAGTTCGAATCTTGGCCTTCATTTGTGGCGCTTGCATGTCTTTTCTTCGGGTATTCCTCCTATATTCGAAAGAGACCGGAAGTGAGTTTAAAATGTTGTTTGTCTCTATGTGGCAGTCTGCGATTGACTGGCAACCAGTCCAGAGTGTACCCGCCAAAGTCAGCAGGCACAGGCTCCAGGTCACCCGCGACTATAATGAGGATAACCACGATAGAAATGAAGTGAATGAATGGATATTACACCGTGCGGCTGTACCTAATTAAGCGTCTGGCCCACATAGTTGTAGCAACAATACATCAGACTTGCATATTGTTGTTTATGTGTCTTCTCCAACAAACACACATCAACCAGACAAACGGAGGGAGCGTAGCTTGCCGGTGACATCATAGAGAGAGACGCAAGAAAAGTCGCAAGGGTGCACAGAGTGGAAGGTTGATTTTTTATGGAAAAGTACTACGCTTGCCTTTCCTACAACAAGACCTGGCATCACTGCTGTTTATGTGAGTAGGTGGGAATGGAGTGGGGGCAGTCTCCTGTTGACATGTGCGGGAATGGTAAGCACTGTTTGTGCATGTGAAGAAGGTGAAGACGTCTGCTTGGTGTTTTAACAAGTCTCTTCGTATAGGCTTTCTCATTAAATGAAAGCGTCCACATGTAAACCCCCTGTGGTGCACCAGTCGTGAATAGTCATGTGGTGGTGATGACACACCTTTTTTATTGCAGAGTGGCGCAGTGCATGTTAAATTTACGCCAAAGGAGGGATTCTCCCTCATGCCGCAGTTGGCTTCTGGCTTTTTTTTTTTCTACAAAATAACATTGACTCTACTAGAATTGTGAGGTATGAATGGGGTGATGCAGGAAAAAAAAAAGACGGGGAACTGTTAACTCTCCTCTTTTCTGGTCTTCATTACAACCCCGCTCCTCCCTGATTCAGGGTGGCACGATGTCACACAAATGAACACCAATGGGAGTACTCGGACTTCCCCGGAGCTCCTCCTTCTCCTCCCCGCTTCTTTATATGTGCCTCGCCGCTGCGTTCAGTTCCAGTGCACAACGTGCTGCCTCAGAGCTCGAGAAGCCACAGTGAGGAGAGGCAGTGACAAAGGGAGGAGGAGGAGAGTGTTGTTTTAGGACCAATTTTATCAGAAATCTTTTCCTGCTCCGGTCTGCAGAGACCTTATCGCTCTGTTTGGACTTCGTATATCTGATTGACTCCACAAAGGGGTTCAAGCGATAATTCACCTGCCCCTGCAGCGAAAATGGGCTGCAGCACAGGGCCACTTGCGTGCCAACCGCCAGAGAGCCAGTCCCTGGAAACCGGAGGCTCCAAAGTCCCGGAGGTCCTCTCCTCCTTGGAGCGTCTCTCCCAGGCCACGGGAGGCATGGAGAAGTCTTGGTACCGCTGCATCTTCCCCTTTGGAATCATCTCGTTGGTGATTGGCGTGGCCGGGACGGGGGTTACCTACGCCTACAATGACCTGCCCCAGACCAAGGTGGTGTCTCTCGTGCTGTTGGTCACGGGGCTGTTGCTCCTGCTGATGGCCACTGCCTGCTGGACCGTCCACAAGAAGAAGAGGAGAAAAAAGAAAGAAGGAGGCTCATTCACCTCGGAGCAGTGTCCACTGTAAAGCGTGTGCGAGGAGCGAGGGGGAGGGGGGGAGGAAGCGTTGGTGGAACTTCAAAAGCAGAGGTTAGGGAGTTGACTGAAGAAACTGGCACTCCACCTGCTGCACGTGCGGTAGTCCCTCTCTTCTCCCATCTTTGGGTATGACTGATACAGATACAGACACTCTGGATCTGTGGAGTCTGGACCATTTTGGATTGGCAAGGAGAGATCTGCTCTCTTTTATCATCGGGAGGCAGGTCTCCGGTGTCAAAACAACCTCCAAGGAGACGCACCACATTTGCATGGCACACCGCGTGCATATTTACACACACTGGCAAACGTCCCTCGCTAAGCAGAAGCGCCACCGGAGTCACTGCTGGCGTCACCCAACCGCGTCAGTCGCGGCATTCCTCCCGACCCGGGACAGGTGACTCTCCGAGAGAGCAGGAGCGGGGCTTGAAGACGGCAACCCGATACGCGGGCCGAAAGAGCAGCGCACCCACGTCAGCGGACAGCGTCACTCCCTCGTCCTGTGACACCGCAGCAATGCACCGGGGGGGCTTTTTAATGCAACGGGAGAGTGGAACTTGAGTCTGCGAGGAGCCCGATGGTATATAAGTGGACTACGCAGCATAGGAGAGGAGTTCTCCCCCCCCAAAAAAAAACTCCAGGACTCCGAGGAACACAAATATTCACCCCCAAATGAGTCTTTTTTGCGACGACGTAGTTCCTGCCAAGGTTTCTGCGCGGCGTACCTCAACTCCACACAAGCCGTGCCGGGATTACTGAAGGACACATGCCATAACTGGGACCCTGACTGATCCCGCGCCGCGAGAAGCCCCTCCCGCTTCGTGCCTTGACCAAGCACACATGGAAAAAGGCTCTATCACATTTGTATGTTTCCATATGAACTCGTGCCCCATTTGCCCTCGCGCTCACCCTCACACTCGACTTTCCCAGGCAGCACTTTCTCATCCACTCCATCCGGATCTGGACGTCTCCCATTACTTGATCCCTATTCGTTTCCACAGCTGAAGACTTTATTGAAAAGGAACAAAGTTGTCCAAATAAGCTAGCTCTCGGCCAATCCTGTCTCTTAATGATGACTTTTTCCTCTTGCGAGGCACTAGGGAGTCAACGTAGCATTGTAGAAGGAACTTGTGTTGGTTGTTTATATCCAGGATGGTATTTTTTTTTCACTCACTGTTCCAAAGTCATGACCATAGGTGAGTTCTGGAATGCAAATTGGTGTAGAACTTTTATTTTCTATTCAATAAAAACAATAAAACGCAACCTCCTATGGGATTCAAATGTGTAGCGTTATTAACAGCAAGAAATAGTCCAGGACGTGCCATTTAGAAAGATGTTTTTTTTTTTTTTGCCTCTTGTGTCGCTTGTAATGAAAACAGATGAGGAAAATCCCATGCCAATTGCAACGGAATTAATACTGTGAGAATGTGCTGCGCTTGTTTGGCAACCGGTTCAGGGTGTACCCCGCCTTCTGCCCGATGACAGCTGGGATAGGCTCCAGCACGCCCGCGACCCTCGTGAGGATAAAGCGGTTCAGATAATGGATGGACAAGGAGAATGTGGTCATAGAGGTCAGAAGGGTAAGAGGATTAAAAAAAAAATGGCAGTGTTTAACATGTATTAGACCACTAGTCATTAAAAAAATGAGAAGAGACCATCGAGCATCATGAAGTGCTTTAATGCAGACTTTTTCAATTGTAGTGAGTTCTGAATTATTTGCCATCAGAATCAGACAGGGTTATTGATTCCACTTTAATGCACTCAAAGTCGAGCATAACATTCAAAAACTAAAACCAGATTATTCTGTTCAGCAATGCAAGTAAATAACTATAATTTAACATTTGAATCAAGATTTTTTTTTTACATCGAATTGACCACTGCGGTTATTTAACTTCTCAACTGAAGCAACACTTTGATTTTATTCTCAAAACATAACTTTTTTTATTTTCTGTGTGCTCCTAATAAAAAATAGAACTGTTTTAACACTGCAGATGAATGGAGCTATACTGTGTTCCTCAGAAGAGATATCTGGATTTTTTTTTTTTTTTTATGGTGACCGTAATTTCAATATAAAGTTCACATATCATTCTTATGTGTGGCCATTAAGTATTATTTTGTGACCAGAACATAGGTGTAAGATGCACACTAAATATTATTTGTGGTCATGAAGAAGGGATGATGTGCGCACAGTATACACAATATTCCAAAGATTCCTTGACAGTTGGGTAAGCAAATCACGTGCACTTTCAAAGACATCGAGGCTCGGGGTAAAGCTTATATAATGGACAGGGATAGTATGATTGACTTTTATTATTATATCAAGCATATTTAAATAAGTGCCTAAATGCAAAACAACAAGAAACTGTTGAGAGAACACAAGTAAAGGCTCTTTAAGGACATTGCGTAGTGCCAGGATATCCACATTGTGTATGGGAATAATATTAAGACAAGAAAACGTGTATTTTGTCTGCATGTTATAACTTTTATAACATACTACTTACTTTTGTGGCCACAGTTAAGTATTTTGTGCACACGTATCTGTATCGTGACCAAAATGCATTTTCAACATGTTGTGCCTGGGACTCCATACTATACCATGAATCACAAAAAGGGAAAGTGCAATGTATTGAATGTATGCAAATTAAGCTTGACGCGTCTATTTTACCCTTAAAAAAAAAAAACATTGATCACTATCATGTCGATCTGCTTTAGCCGATCAAATGTGTCTATGCATTCAGAGGTAGCAGATGCAACACACAATGCCAAAATCAGCCCTAATTGGGAGGGAAATGACATAGTGCTGGAAAAATATGAGATATGAAGCGTGTCGGCAGGGGTGAATTGAAATAGGTCTTGATCACACCATTTAATCTACATTATGTGCATAACTCCATTCAAGATTTGATTCAGTCAAAAGGGTCTGTGATGTGGATTGCATACATACGGACAAGGCCAGATTTCAGCATTTTCCATCCCTTGTGATCAGCGTCAGCAAAGCTCAGACACTCGAAAAACTCCAAAAAGATTCTCCTATGTGATTAGCTTGTGTTGTGGGATGTGTAACTTAAAGGGGAACTCAAGTCAACAATTGTATTTACAATAACATGTTCTATGTGCCCCCGCTAGTCTAAACATGGTATTCATAAAAATAAAAAAAATAAAAAAATAGAAAAAAATTAAACCACATTGAATTTGTAGAGTATGAATTAAGTGGAAAAGTCAGCCCGTTTTTATCTATCTCAGAGAGCGGCCATTTTGTCTTGTACTGCCACTTGCTTTTGACTGAAAGTGACATCACAATGCTTAAGGGCTCACTTTACGTAGGTCACATGACCAAACGCAGAAAACAGGTGAGCCTTGACGTTTGATACCTGAGCCCTTTGGCACTGTGACGTCATTTTTAGTTGACAGATAGTGGCAGTACAAAACAAAATGGCCGCTCCCTGAGATATATATTTTTTTAAGTAGTTTCTCCCTAATCGGTGCCATTGTGTTGCACCGATGATAAAGTGACCAGATAGTGTTTGCTTTTGTTTTCCCTTCTGCCTTTGAACATGAAAACTAAGGGAAAATCTACCTCTGTGCTGTGTGTATAGATGGGGCACACTGTAGTGTTGTACTTTTGCCCCCAAGGACAGTCATGTTTTCTGCTTTTGCTGTTGGTGGAGATGTGTTATGGTCCTCGACATTCGATAACTTTATATTTGTACTGTACTGTATATTTCTATGTAGATGTACATTTTACACTGGTGTAAATAAATGTTCAACAAAACACTTGTTCTCATTTTTTTTGCTTTGATTTTTTTTTTTTTTATAAAGGGAAATATGGGTGACTTGATCATAACATATTTTTTTGAATGCGTGCGTGCATATCTGCGTGGGTGCGTGCGTGCTTGTGCGTGTGCGTGTGTGATGTTGATGTTTTAGCAAAGTGGGTGTGGAGGCTAACAGGCCACAGAGCACATGTGGTGGAAGTAGTTAGTTGCTTTGCAGGCCTCAGCACAGATGACAGGAAACAAGATGTGGGAGCATCTCATCCGCCTGTCCATCTCCGCCACTTTCCGCGGACTTGGCAGTCAACCATATTTGATTTGTCGAAAGATGTTTGAAGTGGATGGAGAAATTACAGCACAGCGATTTGATGTTTTAGTCGTGAGTTTCAAATAACAGTCATTTTGGCTCAGGAAACCTTCAAGGGGAAGCTGAAGAGGAATTTGGCTTCATCAGCCAGAATCCAAATTTACCGGTATATCCAATTGAAAATCTGTGGAGTAGAAGTCGAATTTTGCCTTGCATCAGCAGTCATTTCTGAACTCAAAAAGACTGTCATTAAAGCAAAAGGGACTTCAGTTTACACTTCGGGCTGTTATTTTCATTTTCAAGTTTTGAAGTTACCTATGCTGGTGTCATTCACAACATTCCGGTTTAACAGAAAGTTAATAAGTAAAGTCAGGCATTAAAACTTACAGTAATTGATTTTTATTCACATTGGATTACAAAAAAATGTTAGTGCTCCACATAAAAGAAAAAAAAGCTACGTTGTTATTTGAATGAGTTAAATACAGTGATAATCTGGTGATAATTATTTGGTAATTTTATTGACATATTGCAATATATATATATATATAACAAGACAATTTGATCTTAAAACACGGTCTGGTAAGAATGACCTGTCGAACAAAGTTATTATTTCATCATTGTGGTTCTACAGGCAAATAACCGCATTATTCTTGGAAAGCATCGACACGGACACGAGTGTTGAGTTGTATCTTCCAGAGAGGGAGTTTTCCTTTCCATCACAATGCGTGCTCTTGCGGGGTTCAGCGATTATCAAACTTTTTCCTTCAGGTGTCACTGAAAAAATACGAAGCCCTCCAACCATGACTAATATGAAAATAAAGTGTTCATTCAAACTTTCATTTTTAATGTAATCGTGTAAACCACTGTAACATGCAGTTTAAACATTAACGCTGCGCATAAGTACAGGAAAATGAAAAATTGTAAATAAATCATTTTTGTTCTAACTTTGTCAGAGGGTCCCACAGAGATATTTGAAAGATTTATCTGGCACACTTTTAATGTAATTTTTCAAGCTATCTGTGGATTTAAATTAGTAATTTATTTTTCCTTATTCTCCCAATATAATAATTTCGGCTTTACCCTCTGCCGATTATGTCTGTCTCTTTAAATGCCGTCCTTTAAATTGTACCTGATTTTACGCAACTACGTATCCCACATTCCTCAGTACGATCAGTTAGTGGGCGTTTTTCATAACCAAATGTACCAATAGCATACCCTTGTTTGCGAGCGCGTACTTCGAATTGCAACCGTTTTATCCAATGGCAACGCGGTGTTATGCAGTTTATAAATCTCCGACCAATAAGAGCGCCCTTAGCTATCACCAGCCAATCGTAGCTGTGCTAGGCACGACGTGTAATGGACAGGGATAGTATGATTGACTTTTATTATCATATCAAGCATATTTAAATAAGTGCCTAAATGCAAGACAACAAGAAACTGTTGAGAGAACACAAGTAAAGGCTCTTTAAGGACATTGTGTAGTGCCAGGATATCCACATTGTGTATGGTAATAACATTAAGACAAGAAAACGTGTATTTTGTCTGCATGTTATAACTTTTTTGTGGCCACAGTTAAGTATTTTGTGCACACGTATCTGTATTGTGACCAAAATGCATTTTCAACATGTTGTGCCTGGGACTCCATACTATACCATGAATCACAAAAAGGGAAAGTGCAATGTATTGAATGTATGCAAATTAAGCTTGACGCCTCTATTTTACCCTTAAAAAAAAAAAACATTGATCACTATCATGTCGATCTGCTTTAGCCGATCAAATGTGTCTATGCATTCAGAGGTAGCAGATGCAACACACAATGCCAAAATCAGCCCTAATTGGGAGGGAAATGACATAGTGCTGGAAAAATATGAGATATGAAGCGTGTCGGCAGGGGTGAATTGAAATAGGTCTTGATCACACCATTTAATCTACATTATGTGCATAACTCCATTCAAGATTTGATTCAGTCAAAAGGGTCTGTGATGTGGATTGCATACATACGGACAAGGCCAGATTTCAGCATTTTCCATCCCTTGTGATCAGCGTCAGCAAAGCTCAGACACTCGAAAAACTCCAAAAAGATTCTCCTATGTGATTAGCTTGTGTTGTGGGATGTGTAACTTAAAGGGGAACTCAAGTCAACAATTGTATTTACAATAACATGTTCTATGTGCCCCCGCTAGTCTAAACATGGTATTCATAAAAATAAAAAAATAGAAAAAAATTAAACCACATTGAATTTGTAGAGTATGAATTAAGTGGAAAAGTCAGCCCGTTTTTATCTATCTCAGAGAGCGGCCATTTTGTCTTGTACTGCCACTTGCTTTTGACTGAAAGTGACATCACAATGCTTAAGGGCTCACTTTACGTAGGTCACATGACCAAACGCAGAAAACAGGTGAGCCTTGACGTTTGATACCTGAGCCCTTTGGCACTGTGACGTCATTTTTAGTTGACAGATAGTGGCAGTACAAAACAAAATGGCCGCTCCCTGAGATATATATTTTTTTAAGTAGTTTCTCCCTAATCGGTGCCATTGTGTTGCACCGATGATAAAGTGACCAGATAGTGTTTGCTTTTGTTTTCCCTTCTGCCTTTAAACATGAAAACTAAGGGAAAATCTACCTCTGTGCTGTGTGTATAGATGGGGTACACTGTAGTGTTGTACTTTTGCCCCCAAGGACAGTCATGTTTTCTGCTTTTGCTGTTGGTGGAGATGTGTTATGGTCCTCGACATTCGATAACTTTATATTTGTACTGTACTGTATATTTCTATGTAGATGTACATTTTACACTGGTGTAAATAAATGTTCAACAAAACACTTGTTCTCATTTTTTTTGCTTTGATTTTTTTTTTTTTTATAAAGGGAAATATGGGTGACTTGATCATAACATATTTTTTTGAATGCGTGCGTGCATATCTGCGTGGGTGCGTGCGTGCTTGTGCGTGTGCGTGTGTGATGTTGATGTTTTAGCAAAGTGGGTGTGGAGGCTAACAGGCCACAGAGCACATGTGGTGGAAGTAGTTAGTTGCTTTGCAGGCCTCAGCACAGATGACAGGAAACAAGATGTGGGAGCATCTCATCCGCCTGTCCATCTCCGCCACTTTCCGCGGACTTGGCAGTCAACCATATTTGATTTGTCGAAAGATGTTTGAAGTGGATGGAGAAATTACAGCACAGCGATTTGATGTTTTAGTCGTGAGTTTCAAATAACAGTCATTTTGGCTCAGGAAACCTTCAAGGGGAAGCTGAAGAGGAATTTGGCTTCATCAGCCAGAATCCAAATTTACCGGTATATCCAATTGAAAATCTGTGGAGTAGAAGTCGAATTTTGCCTTGCATCAGCAGTCATTTCTGAACTCAAAAAGACTGTCATTAAAGCAAAAGGGACGTCAGTTTACACTTCGGGCTGTTATTTTCATTTTCAAGTTTTGAAGTTACCTATGCTGGTGTCATTCACAACATTCCGGTTTAACAGAAAGTTAATAAGTAAAGTCAGGCATTAAAACTTACAGTAATTGATTTTTATTCACATTGGATTACAAAAAAATGTTAGTGCTCCACATAAAAGAAAAAAAAGCTACGTTGTTATTTGAATGAGTTAAATACAGTGATAATCTGGTGATAATTATTTGGTAATTTTATTGACATATTGCAATATATATATATATATATATTTCATCATTGTGGTTCTACAGGCAAATAACCGCATTATTCTTGGAAAGCATCGACACGACACGTAGTGTTGAGTTGTATCTTCCAGAGAGGGAGTTTTCCTTTCCATCACAATGTGTGTTCTTGCAGGGTTCAGTGATTATCAATCTTTTTCCTTCAGGTGTCACTGAAAAAATAAGTAGGCCTCCAACCCTGACTAACATTAAAATAAAGTGTTCATTCAAACTTTCATTTTTAATGTAATCGTGTAAGCCACTGTAACATGCAGTTTAAAAATTAACGCTGCGCATAAGTACAGGAAAATGAAAAATTGTAAATAAATCATTTTTGTTCTAACTTTGTCAGAGGGTCCCACAGAGCTATTTGAAAGATTTATCTGGCACACTTTTAATGTAATTTTTCAAGTTATCTGTGGATTTAAATTAGTAATTTATTTTTCCTTATTCTCCCAAATTTGAATAACTGTATGTGTAATTTCTGCTTTCTACCTTGTTTAAAATAATAATAATTTCGGCTTTACCCTCTGCCGATTATGTCTGTCTCTTTAAATGCCGTCCTTTAAATTGTACCTGATTTTACGCAACTACGTATCCCACATTCCTCAGTACGATCAGTTAGTGGGCGTTTTTCATAACCAAATGTACCAATAGCATACCCTTGTTTGCGAGCGCGTACTTCGAATTGCAACCGTTTTATCCAATGGCAACGCGGTGTTATGCAGTTTATAAATCTCCGACCAATAAGAGCGCCCTTAGCTATCACCAGCCAATCGTAGCTGTGCTAGGCACGACCAATCAGGTCAAATGCTGTGTTTAAACAGGCGGCGCGGGCGGTGCTACGGGAGCTTCGGGGCGTGCCCAGCAAGGAATGGCTCATGGTTGAATTTGAATTCAGCCAACAATTTCAAACATTAGTTATTAGTGTTTCTCCACCTTTGAATCGAGGGTGTAATTTGACGACAAATTTTCCCGATAGTGTTTTAAATTATTGTGTGTTTCGGTGTATTTAACACTTCGTGACGTTCAAACCGCTGCTTGAGTGCTGTAAAGTTCGCCGGTGGGACGATTCAACATACTGTACATTGAGTACACTTGCAATGAAAGCCGGTGGTAAGTCATTTTTTTCCTATATTAAATAACCTCTTGTGGATGTAACTGATGAAAGTAATGCCTGTGTGGAAATTACAATTACTTTTGACAGTTAGCTTGGTTAGCTCGACCTACAGGGTATACTGTATAGTGGATATTAACTAAGTATTGGCCTCAGTATTTATGTCAAACACGTCTCCATCTGACATATTAAGTGTTAAAATTACCTGAAAGAACATCAGGAATGTTGAACAGCGTAAAACTTAAGCGTAAATGGAAACTTTACACCACTTGAGCCACAGGAGGGAAATTTGGGCGCTCACTTGGACTGACTTGCTGGGGTCGGTCACCAGCGAGCTACTCATGTACTCTACCGCTAGTTTAGGATGTTTTGTTAAAATAGATTTTATAGGTTAATCAATCTCAGTCTTGTATGCAATTAACATTGGTGCTTTAATGGGGTGACACAGTGGAATTTGAATGTGTTGACTGACGTAAATCTGACTCTCTCTGCCTTCTTTGCAACATGCAAACTTTTAGGATGGGAAAAAAATGTAAATTACAGATGCAATGAAAATTGCCCACTACGTGAAAAATACACAAAGACACAACTAAAATATGTAGTGACTAAATAACAGCAAGATGCAGTGGAATAATAATGTACAGTAGTTGTGATATGTATTTTTCTGGTGTTTGCCGAGGCTACATTTTGAAATTAAACCCCAAAAATTATCTGCCTTTCCACTGTCTTTTTTTTTTGTCATCAGTCCACTGCCATTGCCCAAAATGCTACTCCGTTCCGGTTCGAAAGCGGGTCCGCCTGCGCACGCCAACCATCACCTTGCTGAGTCTGCCCAAGGAGGTTCTTCTCTGTGTGTTCCAGTGCCTCTCCGCTGAAGACCTGCTGTCTGTGAGGGCTGTAAGTCTTCATCAACATTATCCACTTTTGACACATAATCGACAAGTCCTTGTCACTTTTCGCAAGCACACGCTTCGCCGCCCCCCCAACACACACACATGTGTTTGGGTTGGGCATCTTTATTTTGTGCCACTCCGTTGACTAAATTAAGCTCTGTTTGTTGCAGGTTCACTCTCAGCTGCGTGACATTATTGACAACCACGCCAGTGTTTGGGCCCGGGCCAGCTTCAGAGATACTTGGCCCTCCCCTGAAAATCTATGGTTGTTTGAAAGGTAAAAAAGATTTCCGTAATTGGTTGACTCTTTTTCTCAGTTTTTTACCTCTTATATTAACAAGTTGTTGCTTTTTTTTTTTTTTTTTTTTCATCACAGAGCTGCAGAAAAAGGGAATTTTGAAGCAGCCGTCAAGTTAGGGATTGCTTATTTGTACAATGAAGGACGTAAGTAAAATGTATTTCTCAAACACGATCTGTTCCATGGCGGTCTTCAATTTGAAAATACATTTTCTCATTATGAAAGAATCCAATCCAGGACCAACTTGTCACCCTAATAAAAAGGGAAAAATATCTTTTACCATCCCCAAACTGGTACAGTTTGGACTTAAATATGCGTCAAACAAAAGTCGGGGTGTTCAACCATCAATTGCTTTGACGAAAATCGTGGCTCATCTATTGTGTTTTGACAACAACTGACAGTGAGACACCTCAGAAGTGGTGCAGTTTGGACTTCAACCAAAATTCTCTCGCAAAATATGCCTCAAAGAAACGTTCAAGCATGAATTGCGGTGCATGAATGCAGCTCATTCCTGATCGCCCCCCCCCCCCCCCCCCCCAACAGCTCTGCTGAGCGACGAAGGCCGCGCGGATGTGTGCGGACGGAAAGCGTCGCACTTCTTCAGCCTCGCCGAGAGCCTGCGTTCCCCCGCCGCCGATCCCTTCAGCTGGCTGTTCATCAGGCCGCCGTGGTCGCCCACCGGCAGCTGCTGCAAGGCTGTCGTCTTTGAGCACCTCAAGGCCGAGTGTGATGACAACAAGGTGGGGTTTGGAAAGTCTGTAAATCTGGTTGTGTATCGTATATGCTGTTTGTCTCTTCTCATTATTTCACATTCCAAATACGTATGTCGGTAAAAATAAATGCTTATATGTGTGTCGCTAAGTTTCTCCATCTTTAATTTCCCAGGAAAAGAAGGGTCCCTTGTTGCACTGCTTGGCAAGAGTGTTACAGCTATTTGAGGTGAGTCTCACCCAGTTCACTCTGTGTCCGGGTGTGGTCAGCACCGTTTCTATTAACCCTCCAATTGATTAAGATGAATTGGAGGCATGACAAAAAGCAATTGTAATTCGATCGGCATCCCTGATGAAGTGTTTTGAATGTTGCGAGTGATCCTCAGTGCTCCCACCTTTCTGTAGGAGGATGACAAACACTCTGAAGCCATATCCATGTTGGAAGAGTCTTCGCGTTCGGGTTGTTTGCAGAGCTCCTATCTCATATGGGAGCACAACCGCAAAGCTGCTGTGAGTTCAGCATTTTCGCTCTACGGGTTATTATAGTGTACATCTTAATTAATCAACGACGCATTAAAAATATACACTAGATGAATTGGGAAAGCGTATGACCACTTTTGGATATGGACCTTTTTGTCCCGCCCACAATGGCATATTTTGTTCTCAAATTAATATTTCTACGGTTGAGTAGAGTTTAAGTTAAGCTTAAACGGTTTAGTAACGTGTTTGTTTAGTGCGTTATATCCAAAAACTAAATACCAATATTTGCATTGATTCTATGTTTTGGTGATTTTTTTTTTTTCTGTCGCGGCTTACAGATGTCAGATCCAGGCAGGTACCTCCAGTGTATTCGAACCCTCAGGGACTGCGCTGCAAGAGGATGCTGGGAAGCGCAGGTGTGTGCATTGGAATGAGTGTCCACTACATGTGACTCACTTAAATTCTGTGATGTATTTAAAAAAAAAAAAGTAGCACTCTTCGGTATTGTTCTTGAGAAAACATGTAGTGATAAATGACCCGAAAAGTCTTGTCACTCCTAAGATGAAGCATGACTACACCTATCCAGAGTGTTGTCTTTTTTTTTTATTTTTAAGGCAGCCTCTAACAACTTGCCTTTGTCCGTGCAGCTCTCCCTGGCCAAAGTGTGCAGCAGTGGCAATCCACTGGGTTTGGAGGCTAAAGCCTGCTCAGACCTGGTGTCGCAACTTTTTAGCACCTCCCGGCAGGCAGAACAGCGCGGCAATCACAGCATCCTCAGACGGGGCATTAAGGACACCATGAGGTAATGGCAAAATCCTCCACGCTGACTCTATCCCATCACTGGCTCCTCAGTCCTCACTTTGCGTCCCTATTTGTGTCACTCTTTAGGTACATTCTGGTGGACTGGCTGGTGGAAGTGACCACGATGAAAGACTTTTCCAGCCTGACGTTGCACGTGACGGTCGGCTGCGTGGACCGCTACTTGGCGCTGCGCTCCGTCCCCAAAGTTCGCCTTCAGTTGCTGGGGATCGCCTGCATGGTGGTTTGTACGCGGTAAGAATGACCACTTGTCATCTTGTTTTCAGGGGTTTTTTACTTGCTCAAATTGAGGCGGAGGTAACATGTTGGTCATATTTTCTTTTCTTAAAAATATTACGTGAGCCAACATCGATTTATTGACACAAAATGGATTTTATTGTTGTTGTTTTTTTTCTCACCTAGTTACATCAGTAAGGATATTCTTACTATAAGAGAAGCAGTGTGGCTCACTGACAACACCTATAAGTATGAGGACTTGGTCCGAATGATGGGAGAAGTTGTCTCTGTGCTGGAGGGGAAGATTAGGGTGAGTCTAAGCACTTTTTTTTTTTTTTTAAATTCACACCATTTGTTGATTGAAAAGCTGAACACATTTCCTGATGTGAATTGTTGCGTAACTTAAACGCTGGCATTACCGGTACAAATTTAACAAAAAATTCCAATGAAATGAACACATGGTTTGCTTTTTACCCAATACAAGCGCTGAATACATCCAAATTCTGGCAGTCTTTGTGTCACTCCCCAATTGGCCAATGTCATTCCATTTCACATCATTGAGCATATCAAGGAGGAAAAATCCTTCTTAAAACAGCTCACACCACAGGATAATTGCTCGGGTTAATCATTTTCAATAATCTGTCTGTTACTGACTTGATCGGTAGGGAAGGGGAAATGCTCAAATTTGCCCCGATTTTCAGTATGAGTGTTCATCGCGTTAGATTGTGTCCTATTTAAACTGAGTTTCACAAGTATAGTAAACCGATAAATACTCAGCCAATTTGAGTTATGCTGTGCGGTCCACCTCAGAGCCCCACACTTTTGGACTACGGCGAGGTGCTGCTCTCCCTCCTCCCCCTGGAACGACGAACCACTCACCTCTTCAGTTACATCTGCGAGCTGTCCCTGCTCTACCTTGCCCTGGCGACGATGCCCGCAAAGATGGCCTGCGCCGTGCTGCTGCTCACGAGAGCGCTGCATCACTACGGTAAAGATCAGCCAACCCCGTCTGGGTCCCAGAGCCACATTTGTCATTTTAATTAAATTATTGATTCATTTTATTTGGATGTATGCAGCTCCCATCTGGCCTAATCAGTTGGTAGACTACACCGGCTTCTCCAAGCAAGATCTCACCCAGCTTGCTGTGCTGCTTTATGTCAAGTGGTAAGCCACTCTCAACGTGCACAATCACCCAGTATTGTGCAGCACCACCGCTTCACACACGGATTTTTATTTTTTTTTTCCTCCCAGGAGAATTCTGGTTGATATATGCCTTGTGCTATTCACTGGACCACTCTATGGTTTCACCACAACCTATAATTTCCGTAGTTGCCTGGGAAACCGTCTGCATTGATGGATTTTTATTTCGTCGTTGAAAAGGAGTTGAATTAAATCCCTGCCGCAAAAGTGCTGATTGTAGAATTGACGTAAATGGAAGTCAAATTAAACCATCGTCACGTGAGATCTCAGCTCATTTTTTATACAGCGCCCGCCAAACATTTATAGTTATGAATATGTATTGTTGTCGTAAATCTCAAATCTCTTAATGCCACTTAAAAGATTGCATGTAAGCATGGAATATATCTAATACACTTTGAAGTTAATCCTGGGAATCAGTCAGCGTCACTTTAGAAGTTCCGCTGTATTCTACGCAACATGCACAACGCTGCAACCTCAAATGGTGTTGACGTTTACGCCCTCCATCTTATATCACCTACTTTGTGAAATAATGACCATTGATTCGTAATGTGCACGTTCAATGAAGCCGGACTGATGAGCTGTAAGGTTGTTTTTTTGTGGTCAAGAAAAATGGGGGTGGGGGTGATTAACCTGAAGACTCTAAAGCTGCGAAACTAAACAGAGTGGGGGCAGGCGCATCACGAGAAGATGGGAGTGGGAAGCCGCTTTGTTTCCACGGTTGATGAGCTTTGACGTTTGCCACAAAGAGTGCATGAAAAGCATTTTTTTTTGGACTGTTTTGTAACTATTTCCCCTCTCTCAGTTTCAGTCAAGATGCTCCCAGAGACTACAGACACGTGTCTCTCACTGGCGTGAAGCAACGCTTCGAAGATGACATCTACCAGCACATCAGCAAGGAAAAAGTACATGCACCTTTCCGGTCTCTTCTGTCTCCCAAAATAGTCTTTTATGAACTGGGGTAAAAACTGTTTGCTCTCCAAGGTGATGGATTATAAGGAGCTGTGTCACATCCTTGAGATTCCTGAAATGGAACCTCAGTTGGAGCCTCCCAGTCCCACTGGCCAGCCAGCGGACATCCACGCCTTCCTTGCTTCGCCTTCCAGCGCGAGTAAAAGGTAACTTACGCAAGTTCTCTGTGGTGGGGGGAAAAACACACCTTCAAAAACAATCGTTTCTGTAAAAATTAACTACAAATATGAGCTGAAATCAAATGTGATGCAGCATGGGGCGATAATGGTTTGAATCTCTGCCACACAATTTGAAGGTTCTGGGTTTGAATCGGCTGCATATGCTATAGGATGCCATAAGATGGTGCCGAAGCCCAGACTCGCAGGAACGAAATGATTGGTATCAAGAAAGTATGTTAAAGGGAGACATTTTGACTTCCTTGAATGTTAGGGAGGAGCAAATTTTAGCTTGGGTTGTTGGGGAAAATTATTGAGAGTCTTGTACACGTGCGTCTCTGGCGTACTTTTACCAAATTTCAATGCAGCTCCGCTTACCTTTTGGCTTGGACGTTTTGGCTGAGGCATTGCACTCATGGGGTTCCCAAGGAGCAATGTTAATATGATTTGAGGAGCTTCAAGAAGTGCTTTTAGCCATTTTGTGGCATTTATGGTTAATTCTAAACCTTATCAGGGAGGCGTCAATTCGTCATGGATTATTCTGTTCGTGGCAAGACCCGCCCCTTAAAAGATTGAATTGTTCTGGAAATCTGTTCGCGATTGAACTTGTTGTACACAAACAGTAAGTACATTTTCCATAATATGTCCCTGTTAAAGTACACACACAAAGGCGCTGTGTATAAAAATAAACGTAACAAGTCAACATGACAAGTCCTCCTACTCCTGGCTTTGCTCATTTAGCTTGCATCCTTCAAGTTTTCCTCCTTTCATCCACAACAGGCGTGAACTGTTTAGTCCAGAAGGTGTTTATTTGATCCATCTGTGAGACAATCCAATGACTCACCCCAGCCTTTCATCTCCCTCCCTAGGAGGCGTGATGACCGCACGCAAGCAGACAGGGGCAGCCGGGTGACCACGCCCACTGCCGAGCTGTCCAATCAGGAGCAGAGGCTGCTGGGCGACATCCTGGACTGGAGTCTGGACACGTCCTCCTCCGGCTACGAGGGCGACCAAGAGGAGAGCGAGGGGGAGAAAGATGGAGACTGTGAGTCACATGGGGTCGAACTTGCAATTGGACTTGTAGCTGGAACAAAAGTGCCGACATTTATCCTCCTGCGTGTTTCACATAAAAAAGTCGATGCTGTCTCTCAGCCCACTGAACACGGGGAGACATTTTAAGATGGGTCCCTTGAATTACTTTCTTCCTCATACATGTTAGTAGCATTGCCTTGATTGATGAAAGTCAAAAAAATCCAACGTGTGACAATGTCAGCGTCTAGTTTGACGTATAAAAAAGTTGTTAGACTGCTGCAAATGCTTCCACCACAATAGGAGAAGTAAGCATGGGGTGTAAACATGACCCCCCCCCCACCCCACCCCCCAACCCAAATGGGGCTTGGGCTTACTTGTGATGCATTTGTTACCATTAGGACATGACTCAGCATTCCATTTGGACCATTTTGTTCCTCGCGATGACTCGGCACTCATCACGTTCGCTGTCTAAACCCTGTGACTCATCGCACGTCTTTCTTTTTGACAGTTTCCATGGTGTCCATCAAAATGGACGCCATCACGGACGCGAGTCGTGAAAATTGCCGAGCGCTGTCCAGCGACGAAGACAGCTTCAACGAGGCCGAAAGAGACCAGGCCCAGCGTCCTGGAGAACGGAATGGCCTTTTCTTTTCCATGGATCTTCACAGTTCAGGCTACTCGTCGGTGCAAAGTGTCAGCCCGATGTCTTCGTCCTGCTCCTCCGCTGCCTCTTCTCTTGTCCCGTGCTCGCTCAAAACTTTTGCCACTTCTCCCAACAAGTCCACCTCGGCTGATTCCAAGCCAGGATTCCGCCTTTTGGTCGCCATGCAAAGGCCTCGGGGCCACTCCAACAAGCAAGTCAAGCGGAAGAACTCTGCGGCGCACAGCGGAGGTGAAGTGGGGAGGGAAGAAGAAGAAGAAGAGGAGGAGGAAGAAAATGAGTACTATTCAGCCAACATGGGCTTCCGGATTCTATAGACGGTGGCAGTCAGTCAGGATATTTGGCTTTGGGTGACATTTTAGAATGAGCATCAATGCAATGTCAAATTAAATTCTCCTGTAAAGGTTAGAGGCCATTTTAGGTTCATTGGGAAATGTCACCCCAACCATTACCTTTTTGAGAGTGGTGTTTGTAAAAATGTTTTTTAGTTGAACGCAAAAAAAAAAAAAAAAAATCTGATTTGGACCAAAGGCATTAGCATTAAAATATATTATTTGGGGTGGGAATCGCAGAGAAATTCAAAATACTATAACAACGGCAATAATGGATGTATTGGTAAAGAGGGAAAACCAATAGAAACAAAGAGGAAGAGCTGCAATATCTGAATGCGGAAAATCACTCGCCACAAAATCTTCTAAAACTGTCTTATTTAGATATGCAGGATTAATATTTGGAAAAGATACAAAGGGGTCCACAGTTTATGACGACGTTCCGTTGTGACGGATGGCAACATAACCCCAATTCGTGCAACAATCTATCAATAACTAATGATGTAACGAAGTCAAAATTTCTGTAAATATTTGGACAGAAAAAAAAAACACTTTCAAGGCCATAAATATAAAACAAATGGAAAAACTAAGGATGGCGGTTAATGACATTTCACTGTCAGGACCATCGCAAGCAAAGGGCCCCCTTGTACTCGATATTAGGTGTTGGTTTTGCTGTCTATTGGATCCCATTCTACAAAAAAGGTTGGACAAAACACGGTTTCAATTACACCCCCAGGCCATCACGACGCTAAATGTAACCTCTTGGCAGCACTGATTATCACACAGTATGTTTTGTTTTTGTTTACAGGAAGGGGAAAAAAAAACATAACCTCCCATAAATTAAAACCTCTGGTTCTCTATTATGAAACCACCCGCTTTGCTCAGGACTTTTTTTTTTTTTTTTTTTTTTACAATAACCTCGGATGGCTGCAAACTGTGAGGCGACCCGAACTTACGTTTTTTGGGGTTTCGTCGTTTTTCAAATGCACTGTCTGTACAAGCGCATCTTGTATTTGCTGGACCACTGAACACGCTGTGTGCCAAAGGTACTGTTAGCATTTTAGGTTTTAAAAAACTGTGAATCTCAACTTGTGCTCTTGATCATGACAGCACACTAAAAAGACACACTGCCGAGGTCTCCACAATCAAAATGTTATTTATTTTTGTCACATTTTGTTTTCCAAGTTGCCTTTTCTACCGCATTAGTCTGGCATTTTGTTTTATATTGTTTTGTTTTGTTTTTGTTTTTATCATCTCAGTGACTAATCATTTTGATACTAGAACTTAACATGACTTCACATTGCCGCGTTGTTGGGAAAAATAGGTCAGCTATGTTCAGGAAGTTCATGTTGATGCTTTGGTGCTCGACTGAATGTTGATTATTATAATATGAATAATATCTGTAGTTGGACTGGTTCTCCTGTGTTTTCTTTAATGTACATACTACTTGTATGTACAGTATGTGAAGAACTAACGTGCCACTACTACTTGAAAATGTTTAATTAAAAAAAGGCATTTCATACATACATTAGATGGCATTTTCTACTATAAAGTAAACAGCTGTGTTGTCCTTGAAAGTTTTTTTTTAAATAAATCATCATGGATTCTGATATTTGTTCTTTGGACCTGATGCACTAACTAAACTGCATTGAGGAATCAAATCACACATTCTATATATTGTTGATTTAGTGACATAGATTATTTTATCTTTCACACACAACAATGGTCGCGGAGTTAGCTACTATTTGAGAGATGATACTTTCCAAAGTACGTCATACAGCGTGTTTCAATCAATATTTTTTGTTCAGTTATTTATGCAGTGCCAAGTTATCAAGACGGCCATAACACATTAACACACGCGCACACGTACGCACAAATGCATATGTATTCACTATCAGTTACTTGTCGGTATTTTTTACACAATTATTTGTACAGAGCGAATACTTTTGTCACCTGTGAAGAGACATGTGACTGTCCAATTAATAATGTGCGAGTCCTGTTTTTACTACGGTGGTGACGTAATCCAAAGAGATTCTTATATGTCTGCCACGTCCAAAACAATTTATCTGTACTGTACACTAGGTCGGAGCGCCTTAATCACGTGACCACGGCGCTTTTCAGTGTGTCACGTGGGTTTTTTTTTTTTTTTTTGGGGGGGGGGTTGTTGACTATTCTGCTGTAATTTGGTGATGTATCCGCGAGCTGGCTGCCTCTCGGAAGCTAGTGCGCCGTCATCGCCTCGCTAGCAGGCTGGCAGGCTTGGAGGACGAAACCCGTTGTTGGGGGAATGCGAATTCTAATGCTATTACGGGAGATCTGTGCATAAGAAAGAAGAAAAAGCCCCACTGTGATGTTTTTATCCTCTTCATGCTAAACCGACGAGGGAACGGGGAAAAGGGACTGCAACCCTGTGAAGTTCACCTGCCAGAATAACGATACTGAGGTAAATATTTCATATTTTCCTTTTATGACACGCCAGGAATTAACGTCGGAGAATGATTGTATTGGGAAAAGACGCGAGATGGTGTGTTATTAGATGAATTTATGAACGCTGACCCTCAGTTTTGTTTAACATTCATCAGGAAGCCTGAGGGATTGACGAGCAGGTTTGTCGTGCAATCACAGGGCCTTAAATCCGTGCTGGGCCAATCAAAGAAGACGGAGGTGGCGACAAGCAAACTATTCTCGTTTTAAGGCGTTTCTGTTTATTTCTTCAGAATACTAATAAAGCATATGCCAATTTGCAAACAATTATTGTATTAAAGTGAGTAGGAGTTGGGTTAAAATCAAAAGGGACAATGACGGTAAATTGGCTTTGTGAAAAAAAAAACTGTCCAATCAATAGGGCGTTATAGTTGCAATGGGCCAATCAGGGAGAACGAAGTCGGGGCTTTGGCAACAAGGAAACGTCTGGAGGATTTTTTTCTGTCTTGAGAAGACTGTATAAGTTACAAATTCGTAAACAATATTAAGAGGCTATGCTTAAGGGATTGCGTTAATATTAAACGGGATAAATCGTTTTATAAACAAGCCTGTCTTTCTTGTTTGTTTCCTTACCTTCCTCTTGAATATTTTTCTGTCGCCCTACCAATAATTTCTATCCTTTCAAGATTGTTTTACTCCATTTTCGCACCGTTCCACCTCTCGCATTTGTTTTCTTGAAACTGAATCCGAGACAGCATTCCTCGACTGACTGTATGGCCCGTTGAAATTGAAATGGTCTAATCAATCTCACGTTTAAATTAATGTCGTTGTGCCCTTTGTGCATGATTATATTTGGCTCATTTCACTTTTTTTTTCAACGCTACTTGCCTGACAGGAGTCCAGTCTTCATGAAAATGGCCATCGTGCGGCAGTTTGGACTCTTGGTCTGGAAAAACTACCTTCACCAGGTAAATTGGAGAAAAGTGCAGCAATTTGTTGCAAGTGTCAATTGTGCGTGAAAGTATATGTGCATGTTTTTAGGTCACAGAGGTTGTAGATTGACTCACACTTGGATTCCTACTGCAGATCATAAAACATATTTTACACGTTTACATGGATCTGTTCGCCGTAAGACTGTACATCGTAATAAAAACTCATAACGTGATGGCACAAGTGTGCACACCTTTTTATAACTGGGCATGTGGATGTGTTCAGAATTAACGAGGTATATTCAAAGTTCAAACTCATATTAACTGGGACTCGGCACAAACCTGGTGTCATTTAAAGTTCCTCTGATTAACCAAGAATAAAGTTCAGATGTTCTATTTGGCTTTTGCTGACATTTTTGTTATCACATCTTACAGCACAAGCTTTGGTCCCGAGTGAGCTTCCACAGGGCCGGAAGGGTCTCATTATTCAATATCAGTCAGCTGAACGGTATAATACAATTTCGAAGGCATCATCAAGTCATGAAAATATGTCACATATTACCAAGAACTTGATGTACCTCCAAAATTGATGGAGTGAAAAGACAACTGGTCAGGGAGGCTACTAAGAACACTTTTGTCGGAGCTGCAGAAATTTCTTGTTAAGTACTGGCTGTTCAGTACATAAAACAGTCGTCCGTCATCTTCTTATGTCTGGGCTAAGGGGTACGGTGACAAGTCAGAAGCCTTTTTATCTTATGAAGAAAAACATCTAAGTGTGGCTACACTTTGTAAAAACACACTTGTCAAATATAAATAAGTAGGGCAATGTGTTATGGACCGATGAAACCAAAAGTGAACTTTTTGGCCGACTGTGGCGGGACAATTCAAAATAGAAGTCAGTGTTAGTTCAAAACCTCCAGGGTTATTTCATAAAGCAAAATGATGTTTGGAAAAGCCTACTAGAACAGCTGAACTTTATTTTGGGGTGTCAGGAGTCCCCTTAAATGGTGGCAGCTGTGTGCTTATTCTCATTCAACAGGAGTTTGAATGTGATTCTGAACACAGTCACATATCCAGTCATAAGAGGCTCAGCACACTTGTGCACCCAATTTATCTCAGTTGTTCACTTCCCCTCTTGAAAAGGTATTTTTTTCAATTGAGTTGTTGTATAGGTTAGTAGATGACATTATGATGTAAAACGTTTTGTTACACCTAACGTGGGTCTAATTTTTAGTTAAAAAAAAATGGCAATGGACTGACGACTTTTTATAACCACTGAAGATGAATGTACAGTATGAATAGCAATTCGGCGGGGTTCTCTGTCCACTAAACTATTATCATAGATTATCAATAGATCTGATTCTGCATGAAATGGCGACTAGCGAGGATCTCTGCATATGTGATTGTTAGGCAGGAATTTATCGACTCGTACATCAAGAATGATTTCTGTAGTGTCTACAATGCATCAAATTTAACCCGATCGAAGGCACGGACTATTGGCACGTCAGGCTTTGTGCTTTTCTGATTGGTGGCCATCCAATATCAGTTCAACTTTGCACAATGCGGTACATATTTTGATCTGCCCCTCGTTTGCTTTCTAGCGTAGCAACGATTGTTTGCTCCATCAAATTTTATCTTAAATTCCCCGTGGTTTCACAATCGCATTCATTGAAACGTGCTCACATAACCGAATTAACTTTGCGCTAAGAAGTCACTCTGTGTTCTAATCACTCATCACAAAAACCCACTTAGATGGACTTTCAAGTAGCTTCGACGCTGTCGCCATGAGTTAGGAGACGCATCGCAAAGACGCCCGGACCTTTTCTTTTCATTCGTATCGATCAAAGGATCCCATTTGAAACTTGGTTGCCTTTGTAGTGTTCTCTTGCCTCTCTTCATCTCTTTAATTGAACATTTTGAAGGAGTAAATCTCATAAGTTATCTGGCACTTCCTGTTCGCTGGAAGGTCACCTCTTTTCCACTCGTTTTACCTAATCCATCACACTTTGTCCTGCATTGCAGATAATTTAGGAAATAGGAAATTTGAGACCTCCAGCAAGGAAAAGTTGTTCTTTTTTTGGGGGGGGGAAACTTACCATTTAATCAAGATCCATTTGTCTGGCATAATGCAAAAGATGACGGCCATAATTGGACAAATAAGCTACAAACACTACTATACCATATTTCCTAAAACGGTTTGCTTCTCACGCAGTCTTTCCCAACATTTACTGAACCAAGGCACATATTTTGCATTTGGAAAATCTTACAAAAAGTAAATACGCTTCAATAACGAACACGTCACAAACTAAGCAAAATTCTCTGATAAGCAAATATTTCTGGAACACTCCAACCTCAAGTCAAAATTTTCACCCAGTTCCTCAGAAGCCTCGAATGCGGTAATTTACTTCCTCTCATTATGTCAAACCCATGACCGATCCCTCATGACCAATAACCCTGTGATCTCTGTCTATCCCCCCACCTTTCCCCCTAACCACGCCCCAGAAACGTCAAATCCTGGTAACGCTGGTGGAGATCATCTTGCCCCTGCTCTTCTCCGGTATCCTCATCGTGCTGCGCCAGAAGGTGCCTTTCAAGGACTTCCCCAATGCCACCATCTATGAGAGCTTTGCGGTGGGCGCCTTGCCCAAAATCTCCCTGAGGCACTTGCAGCTGGCCTACGTGCCGGCCAACTCCAGCGCCGTGCGGCAGGTGGCGGAGGACGTGCGACTCAACCTGGCCATCGCCTCAGGTTGGTGGTAGCTGAGCACCCCCCACTGAGGTGGAAAACGGGTCTGTTTCGTGTCTATCCAACTGTCCATCCATCCATTCTCTATAGAAGTGGTTCTGAAACCTTTTACAACAATTACCATCTAAAACAAAACAAAAAAATACTTGGCTCACCAAGTTCCACCATCATGACCACCAATGAAATACAGTAGCAAGGCCTCGATATTTATCAGCAACGAGACAGTTAAAAAAATGGAACACTTTGCTTGAATTTCAAAAAGTATAGATGTACAGTGGTAGCTCCACTTACGAACGTCTCTTCATACGAAATTTTCAAGTTACGAAACACCTCAACTGGAAAATATTGCCATTTTGTTACGAAAGAAATTTCAAGAGACGAAAGGTACAAATCTAATTTGGGCGGCTACTCCCAGCTCCGACTTTCCTGAACGCAACAAATTTATTGCTGCTCCACCATTGGCTATTACCGAGCATCTTCCTGGCATCCGATTGGCTAAGAGGGACCCCTACCGAATGTCTCTATGTGTGTAGATGGATAAAAACGTCCTTGGATCAGTTCTTCATAAATCGCCAGGCAAAAACCACTTCTGAAAGAGAACATGAACTAAAGAGGACAAAACAAAAAAACGACGAGACACAGTTAAAAGTAATTATTTTTATTCTTTTTTCATTGTTTTTTTACATTATACACAACTCTTTATTTATTATGCAATAATCTAATGTATAACATGTATTTGGTACATATTTTGATGCATTTCTATGCTTTAGAAAACATTTATGTCTGAATTCTGGGGGTTCTTGGAACGGATTAGGGCATTTACATGGAAAGCGCGTCTCTACTTACAAAAATTTCTAGTTGAAAAGTTTCTTCCAGAACTAATTAATTTTGTAAGTAGAGACACTACTGTACTTAACATTAAATTTTAATACCAATTTGTGTCAATCACTCTCTTCCGTTCGCTCCATATCCACAACGAGCAGCGCCAGATATAAATGCTATTTATTTTTTCCATTTCAGCCTTTTGGAACCCAGTTGCTTGTTAAAAAGAAAGAGAGAAAAGGAAAATGTATTTTTAAAAGTAATAAACAATACAGTTATTGCTTGATGCATCGTGTCCAATGGGGTTACAGGCAGGAAACTATCCAGCAAAAGGGAATGGGATGGTAATAAACAGTTGGCCTTTGTAACGCAAGCTCCTGCATAATGAACAAAAAACATTTTCTAATCTTAACCTCCATTTGGTGTTCGGCACTGACAGAAATTGGTTTATATGCCCAATGTGGCTCTTCCGGCGCCGCTGTCTTGAGGAGGGAAACGGGCGCTGCTGCCTTGACACCATTCTAATTCCAAACTGGGAAAACTGGCTTCTCTGCAAACCAGGTTAGGAGAGTAAAACGCGCCACGCCCTGCTCTCATTTCATACAAAGAAAGCTCACGCGGAAGCCTGCATCTTTTTCCTCAGCGGTGACACTTGCCTCATATGCATGCACGCTGACAGACAATTAGCTGAGGCGTGTGGCCGCCGGTCGTCATGTAAACACCACCACGTCTCCCTAATGAATAATTAAGACGGCCTCATCATTCCCGCAGCCTACAATTAGTACATGCGCTCGGTTGCTCTGTGTTCCAACGGCGACTGATATTTCAAATAGCCACAGTCGTGGTTTTGAAATGTCTTCATGATGATTTTTTGTTTTCGTTTTGTTTTGTTTTTTTTCGCTCTCTGCGGTATATTGCGAAATGAGATGCGTCATCTCACATCTGATTGTGGGCTTGCCAGGACTTGAACTATCGAAAGACACAGATGATTACAGTGCTGTGTTTTCGGTCCAACACAACAACAACAGTGTCAGTCCAACAGAGTTGGATTTGTTTGGAAATGTAGACGAAAGGTGATTAATACAACTGCCGATTTACATGGTCATAAATAGTTAACTATTCACGGGAGAATTTTTTTTCCTCCCCCAAACCACTTCTAAATCCTAATATTTTAACCCTTACAGGGACAGCGGTTACTACATTGGACATCTTATAATGTAATCAGGTTACAGGTTAGCATTATTGGTGCATGAAAGGGTAAAATCAAATAAAAAAGTGGTCTCATCATGGCTGTGTGATTAAAACTATCCGTTTATCTGACTTGTTTTTGACATGGTTCCTAGCATCAGTTACAGAAGGTTTACGGTCCTCACAGTGCCCCAAACACAAAGTACGCTTTATGCTAGCGACAGACAGTCTGTCGAAACAGAATCTGTTCTTGAGAAACAATGCAGCGGAGTGCCTGATAATTTCCCCACTGATGAAAACACGGAACTGCTCGAGAAGGCGTTTGCGCAAAGCCAAGATGGCTGCCTTGGACTGAACTGCAGTCGGGGACAGCAAAGCCGCCGGCAAAGGAATGAAGCTTTCTGATAAATACCTAAAACCAAATAGGCAGGAAAAAAAAGAAGTGTATGGTGACTTTTGAGACGCGCTTTATGTATTCAGTATAATTCATGATTTCATGTCCTTCTAATGTAATATTGAATACATTTTGTCTTTGGATTTCCAGTCTGTCAAATAGTCGCGCAAAAGAGCCTTTTAGTATTCGCCTCAGGCTCAAGTATCAGGGGCACGTTTGAACCGATGCAGCTGCTTGTCCTTGCTGTTTATTTTTTTTATGTGTGTGCCTTTCCCTCCATTCGTGTGTTTATTCAGTGGGTCTGACCCAGATTTAACCCCATCGGCCTGTGTATAAAGACCTCACTGCAATCCGAATACCTGCATGTGTGCGTGATAGATGGAATGTAAATTGGACTTGCGAAACTCTGGAACGGACACAAACGTGGCCAAAAATACAAAATGAAAGCAGAATATGGTTTTATTTTGCAGCAATCCCTCGCTATACCACGGTACATCTTTAATGGCTTTGTTTTTTTCCGTGGATCCGTGTGTGATAAGATTGGTTTGATAAAAATAATGTCGTCTGTTACAGTGCATGGCTTTGAGACGGAGAAGCACTTTGAGGACTATGTGAGGAATGACCCTCTGTCTAGAAAACTCCTGGCCGCTGTGGTTTTTGAGAAGCCCTGTTGTCACAATGACGAGCCTTTGCCCCTTCAGGTATAAGCGCCACACGATGTGCATCATTAACAAAATAACACTTCCTACTTAATGCTGTTTCATGCTTAGTCTTTGCATCGAAATGCACTCGCGTTGCACTGAAGTCGATGAGTTACAGTGCATGTTAATGAACAATACGTGGGACGCATGTATGTCAACACACCACACCGGATTGGAGCCAGAGGCTAATTTCCACCTGTTGTCACCGGGCAGATTACAGAAACAAAGGAGGGGAAAAAAAGCACAATATACAAAGTAACACATTAATAAAAACACAATTAAAAGTCCAAGTCATGATTATATGACTGATTTGCTTTTAGCCAGTTTTTGATGTCAGTTTTAAAAGTGGGGAATTCTCTGAATTTGAGTGGAACAGTGTTCTGGTTTGGCCACTTTGGCCACTAGGGGGCAGTACAATACAGACATACATTAAACATGAAGAAGAATTTTACAACTCAGCGACACTAAAAACCGTAGTAATATAAGTCATTTTTTTCCACAGAGGATAAAGAACATATCCCTGTGAATATAATTATATTGTCGACATGTTTTACTGCACCGTTTGTGTTCAAATGTCCGCTGCTTGAATCGGATATTTGAACACAAATGGTGCAGCAACAATATTCTGATTATAGTCTAAAAGCGAGACTGTTCAAACACTTCAGCAGAGGGGTGAATCCCTCGAATTTATGTCCCAAAAAAAAAATGCCAAGCCAATACGGTTTCTGTACTGCTGATGATGGCAAACCCACACTATTGGCCTTCCTTTCTTATGTAATCACCCAAACGTTTGTTATGTTTGTGCCTCCCTACAGTTGCACTTGTGTTTTTTTGTTGTTGTAATTGTTCCTTGACAATTTTTATTTTTCACACACACAAGGTCCGCTACCACCTGCGCTTCACCTTCACCCCTCGCAATGCCCCACCCAAAGAAAAGTCGGAGCTGAACCCGAACAGTGACTTGGACTGGCACACGCTCAGCCTCTACCCGCTTTTTCAGCTGCCCGGCCCGAGAGAGCAATACGACAAGCATGGGGGAACACCTGGTAAGAGCCTCTCTTCTAATGGTTATCTTTATATTCACTCTGAGCTGCTGCCAGAGCTGGTTTAGAAATAAAGCGGCCATTTGTTGCTGACAAAACCGGTGCCTGAGGAGTGCCAACTCTTTATTGGTCCTGGAGGAAAGCTTCTAAAAAGTGCAGTAGGCATTTATTCAGGGAGCTTTACTTTGTCCTAACTTTATGAAACAGCAAAAAAGCCTGTAATTATTTTTTTGTTGTTGACATTTTAGCCAATTATAGTCTCCTCCAAAAGTATTAGAACGACAATGTTAATTTCTTTTTGTTATGCCCTGAAGACATTTGGGTTTCTGTCCCAAGTGAATAACATTTGATATTTGGTGGCATAACCCTGACTTCAAATAACCGCCTCAAACCTGTCACGCTTCGACTACACCAGACTATTGCATTGGGGGTCTTCAGTCTCCCCTTCAGGAGAACAGGGGTGTGCAGACTTTTTATAACCATCTTATATAGTCTGCAAGAGAGTTTTTCCAAAAGAGCGTTTAAAGCTGCAATTTCCCTGCCTCCTTCCAGCTTCAGTTCCTGCAGGTGTAATTGCAAAACAATGTTGGCGTTAATTTAGATTATGACTGCAGAAAGCCACTTTAGGCTAACGCTTAAAGCGGTCAATTAAATTGGATTTTTGCAAATGAAGGCCTCTTCTTCATTTTCTTTGGGTGAGTGGGGGCTGACTAAAATAAATTTGGATCATGGCTTCACGTCATAAATTGAAGTAGCCTGCAAAAGTCAGTCGTTTTTGACATCCTCAGACCAACAGCTGCGATGCGCTTCATCTCTGTAGCCTCTTGGCACAAGAGGCTACGTTTCCACGGAAACTGCCACCCAGCGCGATTGGTGTGACCCCCGCCTTGTCAAGCCTTGGCACGTCCTCCGTGCAGCGCGACATCTGCGTGGCGTTCACGCGCCATTCGTACACACACTAAATTGAGGCTTTTGAGCGTGGTGGGCACAACTCGGGGGTAGTATGCGAGATGCATTGAAGCCTATGACTACGAGATGTGCGCCACGCGTAAACAAACTTAACAGTATGTTAGTAAACCAAGTGTGTGTTTTTCTTTTCTCATAGTTGAGAAATCCAAGATGTTTTATCACTCGAGCAGTAGCTCCTCAAAAGATTGTATTGTTCACGGTTGCCATAGTTTCCTTCAGCCTCAAGAAACAAGACTTCACTATTTCCGTGTGGAGTCAAGACACCAGCCTGGTTAAGTTGCAAAACTACCAAGCGTGAAAGTAATTGAAGTCAAGTTGACTCATCATCAAACCACTTTTAAGCACCTTCCAAGTTAGCTTGTCACAAAATAAGTTAGACTCACACGGTAAGCATCTATTTGAAGGTACGGTCAGTCCATAAAATGCATTACGTTTGCTAATCTGTCGCTCTTTGAACTCAGACGATCCCCCCCCCCCGCGAGGTCTTTGGCCATAGTGTTACTTGAATTACTGTTAATGCTTTCCCTGACTGTCGGACGTGGAAGCAAAATGTTTCCACATCTCACGCTGTGCCCCCTTTTCCTTAACGCACCATGGCTTTGTTAAATATCTGCTCTTCTTTTCTTCGAAGGTTATTTCCGTGAGGGATTCCTGGCCGTGCAGCACGCCGTGGACCGAGCCATCATGCGCTCTTATAACAGAACCGCGGCAGACTCGCTTCTGGGACAGACCAGAGTAGTCCTGTCCCGCTTTCCGTACCCACCTTTCATATATGACGTCTTCATCCTGGCCATCCAGAACCAACTGCCCCTGCTGCTTGTGCTTAGCTTCACCTACATGTCCCTCAACATAGTCCGAGCCGTGGTGCAGGAGAAGGAACGGAAACTGAAGGTGGGTGTCGGAGGGTTTTTTTTTTGGTTGCTGAGTTGATGATTTCAATCTGCATTCTAAGCCGTTTTGTCTGTGCTCTTTTTATGGATCTCAGGAGTACATGAGGATGATGGGACTCAGCAACTGGCTCCACTGGACTGCGTGGTTCCTTATGTTTTTCCTGTTCCTCTCCATCTCCGTCTTTTTCGTCACTCTGCTCCTCTGCATCCAAGTGAGTTTGGACCCCGTAGCCCTTTTGATGACATTTTTATGTCAAAGTGAGTCGCTGAAATTGGAACAGCCACTTGGTGCAGAGCAGGCTCGCTCTGCGCTGCAACTGCCTGGGTGCACTTGAAGTTATTCTAATGGCTCAATGACAAAAATTCTGTGCGTTTTATGGTTGTAGGTTAGCCCGAATGGAGCGGTCCTGAATTACAGTGACCCCACGCTGGTCTTTGTCTTCCTTCTGATATTCAACGTGGCCACCATCAACTTCTGCTTCATGATCAGTGCCTTCTTTTCCCGAGGTGTGTGCATATTTGGGTATGATTGATTGATAAGGATTAGTTTTTTTATGACCAGTTCATTCCAAATTGTAGCATGGCGGCCTAGCGGTCAGCATATCGCCCTCACAGTTTTCTTCTCTTGGTGCTTGCGCATTATTTTCCCCGGGGGTAAATCATGGACATTCGCTTCAATGAAGACTCTTAAATGGTCAATAATTCACTGCATGGAAATGTGAGCGTAAATAGTTGTCTCCTGTGTTTAGCTTGTGACCCATCCAGGTAGTCAATTTATTATTTATTTATTTTATTTTTTGTGAATATACTCCTATTATTATTATTAATTTTTTTAAAGTAGAATTTTCTTGTCCTGAAATGACAATATTACAAAGTACTCCAATACTATGACACCGATACCACATTACCAGATTGAAAAATACCTTTTTGGGCAGCTCAAGGAGGAGTCATGCAAGTCCAGACTGAAGAGAATTAAGTGTGTGGTGTGAAAATGTATGACTTCAGTTGTCCCGCCATAGTTTCATTTTAGAACTGAAATGCTGAGTTATTAGCAATGTTTAAGCGGAATGTGTGATGAGACTGTTAACATTTTTCATCACAATTGTAAGCTGTAATGGCATTATCAAGTATTGATACTTGGTATTGGTAAATACTCAAATAATGTTGCTCACCACAATTTTAATAAAACCATGAGCGCATGGAAAGCAGAAGCGTTAAGTGCCCGCGGTTAAAATAAGCCGCGGAATACCATAAGAAATAAAAACCTTTATTTTCTCCAGAAATTGCTTGTGAATGTTGCAATGTGGCTGGAGGGCAATAAAGCAAGTGAATGCAATATATATCATAGCAATCCCCCGAATACACGTTTGATGTCCCGCTTGCAAAGCTAATTAAAATGCTCGATAACAACTGTTGTAATTAGACGTAGGAGGGTTTTCAGTCTTGCGCTCTTGCAGGTGTTGTCTGCTGGCAGTGTTTTGCGCGAGCAGCTGCCTCGGCGCGATGTCGACTCGCAGCGCACTTTGCATGCACACTCCAAATGTCAGAGCCGCGGGAGCTCTTTTCAGGGTTTCTTTTCATCGCAAATAGAAGCACTTGCTCTTTCATTCTGCTCTGCCAGTAATTGTCTTGCATTCAGTCTTCTTGCGGTTTCGTCATTTTCATCTTTTCGGTGTGTCGCTGTGTCGTCGCTGAAATGTTACTTTCAGAATATTCCAAATGTATTGGTTCAACAGTATACAGTCAGCTTTCTAACTGAATAATGTCGCTTCGTGAAGGTCAACCATGAGCTCAGAAAATGTCCACCCTATTGTTGTCCACACACAATCGCACACGTATTTCGGTGGTTGTATGCACGTTGTTCTCTTGCAGTTAATTTATTTAAAAAAATTAATAAAATTCAGGGGCATGGCCAAAACCTTTCAATTTTTTTTCCTTTTTTTTTGTTCCCCATTTTCCCTTATCACTCATACCAATCATAATTGTCTAATGTAAAAAAAAAATTACATAGCTGTCTTTTATAATTTTTTCATTACACAACCATCCCACAAATGTATTTCGGACCGAAAGCCCTTTTCCGTCTTTTCTTCCCTCGATAAGCATTTTCATTTTCTTTGGTAACCATAACAACAATTGAAAAAGATGTCTTTGCACGTTTTTCATTGTCAGACAGATATTTTGCATCCTTTCTCACTGTCTCTTTTTTTTTTTTTTTTCATTTTACTTCTTCAGCCAACGTGGCAGCGGCGGCAGGCGGCTTCACATATTTCCTGAGCTATCTGCCTTATTTGTTCCTGTCACCGCGCTACGACCTACTCAGCTATGCCCAGAAAGTGTCGGCCTGCCTTATCTCCAACGTGGCCATGGCCATGGGAGCGCAGCTACTCGGGATGTTTGAAGGCAAAGGTGAGGCTCCAAATTTTGTGCTGAAAAGGCCACATTTGATTTTCAAAACCATTATGTGGCCCTCGTGCATATGTGCATATGTGAAGTTGTTTATTAATAGAATAGTGGTTCATTCCAGTTTGAATTTTGTTTGAATTCATTAAATTAGAATGAATTAACTTTATCCATCATTTAGTGAGAGAAATAATTCTAAAAATAAATATGGTCTTACTCAAACTAACAAAATGAAAAAAAAAAAATTAAACTAATCATAATGATAATCCCAAAACTGTTACAGAGCTGCAGGCCATATAAATTTTTTCTACTATTTCCATATTTACTCATTATTCATGCCATATCTATTTTTTTCCCTCTCCTACGCAGGCACGGGCATCCAGTGGTGTAACTTGTTTGATTCTGTGACCGTGGACGACGATTTCTCGCTGGCCCAGGTGATGGGCTTGCTGCTGTTTGACGCCGTACTCTACGGCCTTGTGGCCTGGTATGTCGAGGCAGTTTTTCCCGGAGAGTATGGCGTGCCGCTGCCTTCGTACTTCTTCGTACTGGTATGCTCTGCTCAGCTTCTCTCTCACACACACACGCACGCACGCACGCACGCACGCACACACACACACACACACACACACACACACACACACACACACACACACACACACACAGGTGTCTGTGGGTCGGGCATTCCAGAGTTCCGGAGCCCTTATAGAACACTCTATAACCTATTTTTAGCTCTGAGTCACCCCAAGATAAAAATAAATAAATAAGAGGGGTGAGAAGCGAAGCAACAATTAGACAGGCCAAAATCATGCATTGTTTTGAAATGTGAAAGGAAGCTGGAATGTCCACGCAAACTTCCCACAAAGAGATGTTCCAACGCAGATTTGAACCTGGGACTCCTGACTGCAAACCAGACGTGCTTGAAAAATTCGGTTTTCCAGAATGAAAAAAAAATATGCCTTTCTCTTCTTCCACTCAAGAAAACCTAAATCCATATTTCATTTGGGCAAGCATATAGATTAGGTAGATTTTAGGTACTTTAGATTCATCAATGCTGCAGTCACTGTAAAATGGGATTGTATTCAAACTATAATTGCAAAATTTCCGACACAATTATGACATAATCTTGAGTCCATATCGCCCACTCCTCGTTGTCACATTTGATTAAAGTCTGAACACTCTGCAGTAATCAGTACAATAATGGATGGTTAAAAAAAAAAAATAGATATATGCACATAAATAATCCTTTGCAATTAAATCCCATCTCATCCCAAGGTATGGGAGTGATATTGTGATAGCTTGACATCGCAAATGACTTTGCTTCATCCATAAAGGATGAATGAGATTTAAGCTAATGAGTTTGTTCATCAGTTTTAAATTGCCGCCACCTGACGACTTAGTCATTTTTTTCATGTGCAGCCTTCCTATTGGTGCAGCAGCCCTCGCATGGCTCTGGTGAACGAGAAGGAGGAAGAGGAGGATGCCGAAAAGGCTCTGAAAGGAGAGTTTATCGAGGAGGAGCCAAACGGAGTTGTCTCTGGGGTTAAGATAAAGCACCTTGCCAAGGCAAGAACAGTACACAGCAATTCAGATTTTTTTTTTTTTTTAAGAGGGTGAAATATTTGTCAAGAATTTGTTCTCATTCCGCGGCAGGAGTTCAAAGTGGGCAACAAAACCCGCAAGGCCGTGCGGGATCTCACGCTGAACATGTTTGAAGGGCAGATCACGGTGTTGTTAGGTCACAACGGTGCCGGCAAGACCACCACGCTGTCGATGTTGACAGGTGACCGCTTAGAACATGTTACATTTCCTAAACATATGCGCTGCCGCAAGATGATCTTGCTGGAGTTTTACTCTTGTTTTACTCTTCTCTCTCTCTCTCTCTCTCTCTCTCTCTCTCTCTCTCTCTCTCTCTCTCTCGCTGTATAAAATATTGCGCTACACCCACGATAGTCCCGCGACGTGGGTGGAGCGTCTCTGTAAATGTGTATAGCTGTTACAAGATGATGTCCAAGCGCTTATAACAGAGGATCATAAAGCACAAATGTCATGCATATAGCATGTGCACCATCATGCACACAGGTTACATGAATGACTTTATTCAGAAGTTAAATTACATTTGTTAACAAAGTGTTTCTAGATTTTTTTTTCTCTTGCACATCAGGTTTTCATAATAATAATAATAATAATAATAATAATATATTTATGGATTTAAGTGGTCAGCAACAGGTGGTGGATGTGTTTTTTTCCGAAACAGAGCTAGAAATTACCAACGCATGGTAAAAAACAAAAATGACACCCTCGATGACCCGTTACAGCCCTACTCTGCGTCCTTTGTCTCCACAGGTCTGTTCCCCCCAACCAGCGGGAGGGCCTACATCAACGGATACGACATCTGTCAGGATATGGCTCTGATTCGACGCAGTCTCGGACTCTGTCCCCAGCATGATGTTCTATTCGATAATCTGACCGTGACAGAGCATCTGCTTTTCTATGCGCAGGTACTCGCACTCATACTTACGCTGTATTCTCATACAATTAAAACTTTTTTTTTTAAAGTTAGATTTTTTTTTTTTTTCACATTGCAAATTTTATTTGAAATAAGAAACTTTTTAATTCCTTCCACTTTTTAATTCATACCACATGTGGTAGTAGAGTTTAACCGTTTATGGATTATTTGTGGTTCTTTGATGGGGGTTGACTTTACCACTGCCCAATGACAGTTACATTGGCCAACAAAGATTTTTTTTCCCCCATATGCCAACGATAATATAATGGTTTCTGGGTAATGTCGGCTGCTGATCGAATCTCTTTCTTTGTATTAATTCTAGTTTTTGAGATATTGATATTTTTGACAATTGATTAATAATTAATGTGCCTTGACAGTTTGCATTTGTTTAATATTAATATCAAATATTGCCTCATTTTCACAATTTTGCTCATCGCGTTTTGGTATTAACGATACAGACGCCTCACTAAAACCAACAGAGTACAGTTCGTGAATGCTTGTTCAGAAAGGATGCGATGAATGTGCCGTGTCATTCAGCTGAAAGGCTTCTCCAAAGAAAAGATTCCAGAGGAGGTGGACAGAATAATCTGCATCCTCCAACTTGAAGACAAGCGACACGCTCGCTCCAAGACGCTGTCAGGCGGCATGAAGAGAAAACTCTCCATTGGCATCGCCCTCATTGGCGACTCCAAGGTTAGCAATCTCTCACGTGTACGTTTTCCATCCATTCGTTGAATTTGAATTCCACCTTTGGCGAGCCAGGTGGTCATGTTGGACGAGCCCACATCTGGTATGGACCCGTCGGCCCGACGCGCCACGTGGGATCTTCTGCAGGGCGAGAAGAGCGGGCGCACCATCCTCCTCACCACGCACTTCATGGACGAGGCCGACCTGCTCGGCGACCGCATCGCCATCATGGCCGGGGGGGAGCTGCAGTGCTGCGGCTCGCCACTTTTCCTCAAGAACAAATACGGTGAGCACGAGAGGATGCGTGCCTTCAGATTTTTGTACGTCGGCATCAGACAATAATTAATTGACATCACTGAGCTGTACCAACAATTTTGTCCAGATCAACTCACTCATAAATATTAGTCCTACTCTCTCTCATTGTAGTATAGGGCAGCGTAAGACCCAGTTTAAGTGCAATTAACACATGTTTGCCATCTGGTGGTGATTGGCAATATTACAACCTAAAACTACAGTCAATGCTTGCATTTTTTTTTTTTTTAAATTATACAGTTGTAAGCTCATCTTGAAATTTCCATAATGAATAATGAATGACGATGCTTCTGCTCCATCTCAGCCGCCAACCTTCTGAGGACAAGCCCTTTCGAAAATGCATGAATTTAATTCAACTCCTGCGCTCCCCAGGTGCTGGCTACCACATGGTGATCGTAAAAGAGGCCCTCTGCAACGTGTCCGAGATCACCCGCCTCGTTCACCTGTACGTTCCGAACGCCACACTGGAGAGCAGCGCAGGGGCCGAGCTGTCTTACATCCTCCCGAAGGAAAGCACCAGCAGGTTGGTCATACGGATCCTGTTTGGATATCTGAATTTCAAACAAGAATCTAACATAGTCTTTCCTCTTTTTTTTTTTTTTTTCCTCCTCTCAGGTTTGAGCTGCTGTTTGCCGAGCTGGAAATGAACAGAGAGGAGTTGGGCATCGCCAGCTACGGAGCATCTGTTACCACAATGGAGGAGGTGTTTCTCAGGTCGGAATTAAAGTAAAAAATATTTTTAGAATTGCCAGTAGCAGGGGCTCAGAATCCTTTTCGAAACTAAGAGCCCCTTTTGGGTAATCTGAAGAGCTACAATAGCAAATTTGCTCAAATTGCCGAATGTGAAGACACTGATCATGTTAATAATTTCTCACCATAATTAGCAAAAAGATAAATTCTAACATGCAACACTCTTTCTATAAACCTCTGCCAGTGTTCATATTTTCCAATGAAGACTTCTACAGCATTCCTAGGAAATCACAATGTTCCATCACTGCTAATGTAAAAAAAAAGGCAACATAATTTCAAGACTTTTTCCACAATAATGTGAATTTGTAAAACAAATTATTAAATTATTACCTGAAGATTAATTTATTCATTAAATTAATATATTAAACGAATTATGATATTTAAAAAAATCTACCTGTTGCTGCCCCTAACCTTTAATTCATAAATATTACAAAATATTTTATTAAATTACATATTATAATTAAAACTTGATGTACTAGAGCAAAAACAAGGACAATTTGGTATGACTGCAAAAAAAAACAAAAAAAAAACCAATCATCTAGATAAAAATGACAAAACAGCAGATATCGATAAAAATGACAAAACAGCAGATATCCGAGGAAATTTTCTGCTTGTCATAATTTTCCTCTGCATTTTGCTTCACACGGCTTAGTTCTGCCTCCCACTTAGTGTCCGCGTGTATCTATGGCAACGATTTACAGTGTCCCCTCTGCGGTGGGCTAAAGTTGCGCGCCGCTTCGGCTCACGCCACGTCACATTATAATTGGTGCTGCTGCGAATGTTTTCCCCGCCCTGGCCTTATTATCCGCAAGTCCAGCTGGGAAACCATCAGTGGCTGTCCACGCTTGTTGAAATGCCCAATGTCAAACGTGACCATCTGTTTTGCTCTTTGAGGGAGGAAATAATAGGAACAGGAATGGTCAGTTTGTTATTGTGGCCTTATCCTGCACATGCCCTTGTTAGCTGGGTTTTGTGTGTATACACACACACATACACACCCACGCACTGTCTCAAGACAGCTTGCCATTTTAAGTCCATAATGATTGCGTCTGTCTTGCAATCTATCTACCCTCTAATTGTTGCCAGTTGCTTGAAAAATGACCATGGGTCATTAAGCCACAGGCTGCTCGAACCAAGTCTCAATATATCCCATCACAATCAGTTATCGACATCCATCCATCCATCCATTTTCTGATCTGCTTATCCTTACAAGGGAGGTGCTGGGGTCTATCCCAGCCATCTTCGCCAGTAGGTGGGTGACACCCTGACCCGGTTGCCAGCCAATCGCAGGGTACACAAAGACGAACAACCATCCGCGCTCACATTCACACCTAGGGACAATTTAGAGTGTTCAATCAGCCTGCCGTGCATGTTTTTGGAATGTGGAAGGAAACCGGAGTACCCGGAGAAAATCCACGCAGGCACAGGGAGAACATGCAAACTCCACACAGGGAGGCCGGATTTGGAATTGAACCCAGTATCTCTGCAGTGTGAGGTCGACGCGCTAACCACTGGACCACCGGGCCGCCTGAATTATCTACATTATTATCAAAAAGGAGTTGAATAAACAGCTTCTGCTTTATGTCTTCAGAGTGGGTAAATTGGTGGATTCCAGTTTGGACATCCAGGCAATCCAACTGCCCGCCCTGCAGTACCAGCACGAAAGACGCTCGCACGACTGGACGACGGACGACACCAGCAGCATCAGCGGCATGACCGACGTGACCGATTTTACCGACAGCGGCACTCTCATCTCCGAGGATTGTTCCAACATCAAACTGAACACGGGGGTGAGATGACATCAACGTTAAAGCACTTCGGTGGAGAGTTGTCAATGAAAGCTTGCCCCCTTGCCGCCCTCCAATCAGGCAAGACTTTACCTGCAGCAGTTTTACGCCATGTTCCTGAAGAGGGCATTGTACAGCTGGAGAAACTGGAAAGTGATGGTGGCCCAGTTTCTCATCCCCTTGGTGTTCATCGTGGTGGCGTTAATGGTGGCGCGCACCCTTCCCAACCACAAGAACGCTCCTCAGCTGGGACTGGAGCTGCGTCGTTACGGCCCCACCAGGGTTCCCGTCGCCCTGCAGACAGGGGCGGGGGCCTTGGCCGCCGACCTGGCCACCGTTTACAGCTCACAGCTCCTCCAGCAGCACGGCCAGCTTGTCAACATCACTGGTAAGCTTTGTGAAAACAGCATCACGGGTTCTTACCTAAACTGAGTCGTGAGAATAGGGTGGAAGCACCTTGGAAAAAAAAAAAACTTTTTTTAATTCAATATTGTAAATGCGATTTAACATTTGATTTTTTTTTTTTTCAAGGTCCTCTTCCCAAATACTTTAAAAAAATTTTTTTTTAACAAATACAAGCAATAATTTAATCTCAGTCCTAATAAACTATCTAATTTGTTCTACATATTTTGGGGGTCATTTAGGTCAGGTTTATGCTAAAATAGAGACAAATGAGCCAACTTACTGGGTACTTCAATTAAAATCGTGAATTTTTGTTTATTATTTTGATTAATTATATTATTATTTTATTTTATTTCATTATTTTTCTTCTCATATGGCACAGGGTTCAGGTCATTACATATGTGGAAGTGCAGGATATGTCACCCGTTTCACTGGGATGTTTATGTGATCTATACGTTCTATTTTGATGCCCGGAACTGATGATGTTCTATGTATTTAAACACGTGACCATGTTTTTCCTTTTTCTAACTGTTTAAAAAAATTCAATAAAAAGTTTAATAACAAAAAAATAAAATTAAAAAATCGTGAACATCGCGCCCGAGGGAAAACAACCAATCAGACACGCAACACATGATGATGAAGTGTTAATCATTTAACTTGCACTGGTTCATGGAAGTAACTTTCCCAACCCTGCTGACAATTTCCGCATCCTCTCTCCTCTCAGACTTTACCCATTACATACTGACCCAGGCAGAGGAAGAAGGCGGCAGCTTTAACGAGCTCGGCGTGGTGGGAGCCGCTTTCCGCGGCAGCAGCAAACACTTTGCCGAGGCGACGGCCTACTTCAACAACGAAGGCTACCACACGCCCGCCACGGCTCTCATGATGGTGGACAACGCTCTGTTCAGACTCCTCGCCCGGCCCAACTTCTCATATGGCACAGGGTTCAGGTCATTACATATGTGGAAGTGCAGGATATGTCACCCGTTTCACTGGGATGTTTATGTGATCTATACGTTCTATTTTGATGCCCGGAACTGATGATGTTCTATGTATTTAAACACGTGACCATGTTTTTCCTTTTTCTAACTGTTTAAAAAAATTCAATAAAAAGTTTAATAACAAAAAAATAAAATTAAAAAATCGTGAACATCGCGCCCGAGGGAAAACAACCAATCAGACACGCAACACATGATGATGAAGTGTTAATCATTTAACTTGCACTGGTTCATGGAAGTAACTTTCCCAACCCTGCTGACAATTTCCGCATCCTCTCTCCTCTCAGACTTTACCCATTACATACTGACCCAGGCAGAGGAAGAAGGCGGCAGCTTTAACGAGCTCTGCGTGGTGGGAGCCGCTTTCCGCGGCAGCAGCAAACACTTTGCCGAGGCGACGGCCTACTTCAACAACGAAGGCTACCACACGCCCGCCACGGCTCTCATGATGGTGGACAACGCTCTGTTCAGACTCCTCGCCGGGCCCAACGCTTCCATCCACGCGGGGAACTACCCGATGCCGCGCAACCTGTCTGAAGCTGCCCAGGGCCAACTCACATTGTATGCAAATTAGTTGCGGTGTTGATACTTTGTCCAATAAGACAAAACTGAAATGAACGCGAATGATCAATTTCCCTCCTTCTCGCTAATGATCGCTCTCTCTCATTCCGTAGGGGAAAGACGGGCTTCATCATCGCCATCAACCTCATGTACGGGATGGCGTCTCTGTCCAGCACCTTTGCACTGCTGCTCGTCACCGAATCGGCCATCAAGGCCAAGCACGTGCAGAAGGTCAGCGGCGTCTACCTGTCCAATTTCTGGTTCTCGGCGCTACTCTGGGACCTGGTCAACTTCCTGTTGCCGTGCCTCCTCATGTTGGTCAGTCATGGGCTTTTTAAGAAATCCCCCCACATATTAGCGGCTCACTCTTGACGAATACTTTACTGTGATGTCACCGTAATTTCTCTGGCAGGCAGTGTTCCAGGCCTTCAGCGTGGACGCCTTTGTATTGGACAACCACCTGGTGGACGTGCTGCTGATGCTGCTGCTGTACGGCTGGGCCGTGGTGCCGCTCATGTACCTCCTCAGCTTCCTCTTCTCCTCCGCCGCCACCGCTTACACCCGCCTCACCATCTTCAACATGATGTCCGGCACCGCCACCTTCCTGGCCGTCACCATCATGACCATCCCAGGTGAGCGAGAGGAGCGAGAGGACAGTTTGGGAAGATCCAATACAATACAATAATAAAGGCAAATTACATAAGTTATTGCTTTAAAATCATGCTGAGTGTCATTTACATGCATTTATTATTATTATGTGGTGTAATGAGCAGAAAGTAATTTTGTTTTTCCCCAGAGTTGAACCTGCAGAACCTGTCCCATTTACTGGACAAGGTGTTCCTGATCTTCCCAAATTATTGTCTGGGAATGTCCTTCTCTCAGTTCTACCAGAACTACGAATTAATCTCATTTTGCACGTCCAGCCCAGTCACTCAGGCCATCTGCAAGTACTTAAGTAAGTTGTTCAATCACTTTTTTTTTTTTTTTTTTTTTTTTTTTTACATTACAAAAAAAAAAATAAAAACAAAAACAAAACCTTCAACCTAATTTAACCATAAGTAGACAAGTTGAACGTCATTGCGCTTTCTCTGAAATCAACCGTTTTCTATAAGCGGCACAGAATTGTTCACATTTTATATTTCGGCCCACACTTCCTTCCAGAATTACTTTAATTCAACAATAGGAGGCTTTTCGAGCATGAATGGCCTTTTGTGGTCACGCTACAACAATTTGTTTACGTGATTCAGAGGTTGAGTTGCTGGTGTCTTTTGGATCGTTGCCCTGCTCCAGACCCCAAGCACGCTTCAGTTTAAGTTCATGACCTGATAGTTGAACATATTCTCCATCCGTCAGATCTCAAGTACCAACGCAACTACTTCTCCATGTCCGAGCCTGGCGTGGGACGCTTCCTGGTGGCCTTCTCGATACAAGGCGTCGTCTTCATCGTTCTGCTGTTTGTCATCGAGCTGCAGTGTGTCCGCTCTCTCCGCCGATTCCTCTCCTCCCTGTGCAGGAGGCGAAAGCAGGTAGCAATCGTGGGGGCGGGGAGGGACATTGAAAGCACTTTTCTATTAGGTGATGGACTTCTTATTTAGCTACAGAAAACCCCTGTTATTCGCGACACAGCCCGAAATGGCACAAATGTGCAAGGGGTTGATGCCCCTCCGAAGATTTGAGACTTGTCTTCATTCCGAGTAAAATGCCTGTGGAGATTTATGGAATGGTGAGGGTTCACTCTTATCCTCTTTTGTGTATCAGTTCTCCTTGATAGGTGATACAACACTGCTTCCAGAGGACAGAGACGTTGCAGATGAGAGGAAGCGGGTGCTTGAGTGCCAGCCCATGGTGGAGTCCATGGTCGGCAGCCCCCTTATTCTGCACGAGCTCAGCAAGGTGTGCAACCCTGGGCGTCGGGCCTTGTGTGTATGAATTGGAAAATAATATCTTTGACATACAAGTGGCAAGTCATGAACCCCTACGCATTTTCACTCGCTGCATTTTTTTTTTTTTTGTATGTATAATACAAGAGAGTTACCAAACATGACCATGTGCAATATTTAGGCTTCACGTTAACATGCATAAAGAAAAGATGAGGAGAGAGGGATTGACCTTACCGTTCCTATTCTTTTGGAGGGGACTTTTTATGTACTTTTCTGTCTTCTTCTTCAGGTTTACAGCAGCGGACAGCCTCTTCTTGCTGTGGACCGCCTGTCTTTGGCCGTGGGTAAAGGAGAGTGTTTTGGCTTGCTGGGCTTCAACGGCGCCGGGAAGACCACCACCTTCAAGATGTTGACCGGTGACGAGAGCGTGACCTCTGGGGACGCCTACATTGACGGATACAGCATCTTGAGAGACATAAAGAAGGTATTTGCTGTCAGGTGGATGGCCATGGCAAAGCTGGGTTGTGGTCAACCGGCACAGATTTGTGCTTTGGCATTCGCACATTCACCTGTTGAAGAATTGTCTTGGGAGGAGCTTGGGGAAACTATTGTCCCATTATTTGCTGAAAACCTATCGCCTGAGTTTGTGCTCAGGCTAAATTATTAAAAGTAAAGTTACGTTTTGTGGTGTCTTGGTTCGAAGGAACTATGTTGATGTGATTGAGGAGCTTTGCTTAGACGAAGTTCGTGTATTCTCACCATCTTGTGGCATTTTGGTGTCGAAAAACTGTTGAGTGAGTTGAGGAGCTTCATTAAGACAAAAGTAGTGCTTCACCATCATCCTGTGGCATCTTTAGGCAATTATAGAGAGGGGGGCTTTGATTACTCCCTGTCCCTATTCACTGTGACTGGCGAAGGGACACTGTATTATGTGTATTATTTTGTCTTTCATCGTGGATATTATAATATTGTGCAATATACGTTAGTATGGTCATTAGTGGAGGAACACATTATTCTCAACAATACATACTGCGCAGTTCAGCACCAAATAATTTGTATCATTGAGTAAGTAAGTGAATTTTCATCTGTTGGATGGATGTTCTTTTCTACTGCATGAAGAAATTGGCTCAACACTGTTAGGTTTTAATCTTTTTTTCCCCCCCCATATCCTTTGCTAGCTTTAGCATCAGCAAGCTAATGAATACAGTAGTTAGGTAAATGGACAGATTGATAGATTTGTTTTAACGCGCTCAGAATTTTTAACTTTGTTAGGAAGATAACTAGCTCGATGATGATTGACAAACTGTTTATCTGTTTGTCACAAACAGACAGAGCAAAAATGTGTAGCACTTGAGCTAGCTTTAGAATCAGCAGTGGAACTGGCTAACCAGATAGAAAGAGATGATAGATTTGGAGACAATTTTATTGCTACACGTTAAATTTCACACTTGTATAATAAAATACATTGAAGGGACAATGCACACCGCCGCTTAAGGCATTTGTCTCTTGTTTCACAGGTGCAACAGCGCATTGGATATTGTCCTCAGTTTGACGCCGTGTTGGACCATATGACGGGCAGAGAAACCCTGAGCATGTACGCCAGGCTCCGAGGAATACCCGAGAAGTATGTGTCGGGCTGCGTGGAGAACGTGCTGAGGTCTCTCCTGTTGGAGCCGCACGCGGATAAACTGGTGCGCAGCTACAGGTCAGCCAAACTGTCAAATGTTTTTCGATCCAATTCAATGTTTGACTGAGGAAAGGGCGATCCAGCCTTCAACTAAAGTCCCGGACTTTTTTTTCCTCAAAAGTCTTATTTTTGCTTTTAGTAGATTTTTTTTTCTCCTTTGCGTCTTTAAAATAAATCTCATGACAATTACATAATTTGAAGGAAGAGTATCTGAAACGTTCTCATACCTCAAATTTTGCCTCATAACACAAAGCCAAAAAAAAAAAAAAAGACCCAGATGACTATAATTTGGAAAAATCTAAAGTTAGTGCGCTCAGTTATACAAAAAAATAAATCAATAATCTAAAGGAGGCTGCAGCAGTAAGGGCACATTTCTCATCCAGGGCAAAAGGGCAGGTGCTTGAGCACCAAAAAAAAAAAAAAAAAGCTCTGTCTGCGCACATGCCTGGGCACGTCAACCTCTGCAAAAACAATTGCGGCTTGGAAGCACATACCTGAGGTCAAAAGTTTCCAACATGTCAATAAGTGACTACTTTTGCAAGTTTGCAAACACGTCTTCAGCAATGTTCTGCATGATTGACCCCGTGGTTGCATTCCAGCAGAGGCTTCTTTCTAGTCCCGAGGACAACCATGTGAAAATGATTCCGCTCATGTTGTTTCTGAGCGGATATCTGTCACTTGCCACGCAATAAAGTAAATAGATAATGACTGGGACTTAGTAAACTGGCTCTTCTCTGTTTGAAGCTGCTTTATGCTAGCAAGGATACGTTTGGAATTACGGAAACGTGTTCTGAATGGACTCAAATTAATCTACCAAATCAATTCATCGCAAAGCCCTGTTTGGCCACATTTAAATCCACTTTCTGAGGTGCGAGAAGAACAAGTACAAGTGGCTGATATCTGACTTGTGAACATTTGCCACTCAGCGGTGGCAACAAACGGAAGCTGAGCGCCGGCATGGCTCTTATCGGTGGCCCTCCAGTCATCTTCCTAGATGAGCCCTCCACCGGGATGGATCCTGTGGCCAGGAGGCTTCTGTGGGACGCTGTGACACGCACGCGGGAGTCCGGCAAAGCCATCATCATCACTTCGCATAGGTGAGGGTGTACTCATCCTAGACCCGGTGGTGGGAAAACTTTTTTGCTAAAGGGCCACATTTGATACTTTTCATGCCAAGTAAGTTTTTAGACTGAGTAACAAAAAAACTGGAGTCGCTGGTTGTTCAGGGAAGGACTCCAAATAATCTACAGAGGTGTCATGCTTCCTCCCCCTAGTATGGAGGAATGCGAGGCGCTCTGCACCAGACTGGCCGTGATGGTCAACGGGCAGTTCAAGTGCCTCGGGAGTCCGCAGCACCTAAAGAGCAAATTCGGCAGTGGCTACACGCTGCTGGCTAAAGTGCACGTCGAGGCCGAATTGGAGGACAGTGACCTGAAGCTTTTTAAAGACTTCATCGAAAGCACCTTCCCAGGTCTGACCATCAGTGAAAAGAAATTGACTGTACTCCATCCTAATTTCATATGCAATGGCTTCACAGATTCGACCGTGATATATCTTCTCTTACAGGAAGTCAAATGAAGGATGAACACCAGGGCATGGTCCACTATCATTTGACAGATAGGACGCTAACCTGGGCACAGGTATTGTGAACAGTGAAATGTGCGCTTGGTGAAATGGGTGGCATCCAGTGGACGCATTTACCCAATGCGAGGTGTTTCTTACGCAGAGCGTGTGCGTGTGTTTGCGTGTGCTTATTGTACTTTGTAAAAATATATAGTAATGACATCATTAAATCAAATGTCAAGAATTCAACAATTTCGCCACATTCCTTGTTTCAATTCAATCTGCGAGATGCGTGAGGTCACAGCTCCAGTAAGCCGTTGTAATATTCGGTCGTTGTGCCTCCGAGTGTTATTGTTATTATTAATGTTATTATTATTATTATTATTATATTATCTGTCTATGACTGTAGCTCCACTATTTGTGTTCGATGCAACACAATATCGATTTTGTTAGCCCCTCCTTGGCGTTTAGCATCAGGTTAGCATTAAGCTAGTGTGGAGTTTTGCACGTTACGGTTTGGTTGACTACACAGACAGCGCTATTTTCGGAAAGGGATGTCTTTTTTTTGTTTTTGTTTTTTTTTTAACCCCACTCCCTCTGTGTTCCTTGCAAAGGTGTTTGGCACCTTGGAGACAGCCAAAGAGAAGTACCGCATCGAGGACTACTGCGTGAGCCAGATCTCACTGGAGCAGGTCTTTCTCAGCTTCGCTCAGTTCCAACACTGCACTGAAGGCAGGAGGAAGTAAGACCCGTCTGTCCCGACGCCCGTCCGACATCCGTCCAACATCCATCTGTCCCCTTCTGTGCGTGCGCGTGCGCGTCCGTTTGCGTTTAACTGAGTGAGTGAGTGACCAGTCTTGATGGACTCATTGCGTCGCACCACTGTTGCGTAACAGACTTGAAGTGGGTTGGCTACTCACCGCGCCCCCTTTTTATTATCTTTTTAGTAAGTTCTTAGGCAATGATGTCATGCATTGCTGGTGAGTTGCGTCCAACATCATTTGTGTGTGTGCGTGTGTGTGTTTTATTTAAAACCTTATTTTAGGCTAATGTTTCAAAGGACTTGAAGAAAAAGAAGAACCACTGTTTCATATGTTAATGATTGTTTCACACCTCAAAGCCTTATTCTAACCAGTGAGGGTTTTGCTTTGTTTGTTTTTATCGCCTTTGTCTCAAGCCTCTAAATGTTGCTCGATGCAAAATTATGTGATGTGTTCATGGTACAAAAAAAAAAGTCAGAGGGCAGAGCACTTAAGAGTTGATTGGGTGTGAGAATGGGTAAAGAAGAACATTTTATTTTGAACGTCCAGTCTAGTACAGTGGAACCTCCAAAGTGGAATGCGCCTAAAGTGGTACAAAATAGTTCTCAAAAGGAAGTCGACAGATCTTGTGAGACTTAAGCTCAGTGAACATCTGAATGATTGACACCATGAGCTGATGGAAAAGAGGAAATGTGCACTGAGATGTCTCCGGCAGTTCAGTACAATATAACCAATGCAGTTATTAAATATCAATTAGCAGTACAGTTTTACCTTGATTTAAGATGATTTACCTCTTTCTCCATTGAAATGAATGGAAATGCTGTGAATGTCTCCCAGCACCACATAACATGGTTGTCACTTGTTTCTGTGTTTAAATAAGTGAATTGTTTAATCTCCCCTCCCCACCCCCCTGAAAAAACAGGTGGTTTGCAAGCAACCGCAAAGCCGTACAAATACTAAACATAGAGTGCCACTATGGTTCATAATATAATATACGAGCATACTGTGCGTGTGCGGTCACGGGTGGATCGCGGGAGGTTGGTTGATCGAAAAGTAGATCTTCCGTCAAAAATCAAAAAAGCACTGCAGGGGGGAAAAAAAGCATTTAGTCATGAATGCTCATTGTGTATTTGTAGCCAACTTAGTCATGTTGAAAGTAGGCTACTATAGCTCATGTAGATACATACAGCATGTGTTGCCTTCATTATAAGGCTTTTAATTTTTTGTGGCTCCAGATATAATTGTTTTTTTTTGGGGGGGGGGTCCAATATGACTCTTTCAACATTTTTTCGGTTGCCGACCCCTGTGTTAGCTTTAGCTAGCTGACTTTCATCGATGGAAAGTTAGGTGAAATACACAGTGTGTAATTTAGTTACCTTGACAGTACACTTCATTTAAGAGTGTCAACAAACGGCTTGAGACGTTTTGGGGGAACAATTGAAGACAAAAGATTTTGTTTTAGAGCAACAAACCGGCCTCCACTTTACAGGTCCCACTGTAGAATTCTCAATGCGTGCTCCTTTAAGACATGTGACGGCTGTGACACCAAAAAAAAAAAAAAGAGAGCAAGAAAAAAAAACAAAAAACCATCAAACAGTTGCGTGTGAGGATTAGATCATATTTATACTGTAACGTATAGCAGGGGTCCCCAACCTTATTTGCCCCACGGACCGGTTTAAGTCAGACAATATTTTCAGGGACCGGCATTTAAGGTGTGGCGGATTAATACAACAAAATAATATGGTATGAGCTGCATGAAAACTGTGGTGTTTTCGAAATATAATAATAAACACAAGGAGCGTCTAATCTGGTCGCAACACTCTTATCGCTATGGTAATGTTTAATGCCTTCAAAATACGATACAACGCAAATTCAAAGTGCATGAAAATGACGACTCACCACAGTCCCGAGCTTGATTTTCTGCAATCAGACAGTCCCATCTCGGGGTAATGACACCTCAAGTGTGTGGTTTATGTCCAAGCAGCTCTTTTACTCATTTTGCGGGCTTCAGCGTTTTGTTTATGAGCGTCATCGGTCACCTGACCGAGAAGTGTGCCTTGACGTGAGTCAAGCGTGACACAGACGGATGTAACAGAGAATCCGGTAATTTTTCAAAATAAAACAGTTCGCATTCCGAAATTAATAAAACGGAAAAAAGGCAAGTTCTTTCTGTGCGGCCCGGTACCAAATGCCCTGCGGACCGGTACCGGTCCGCGGCCCGGCGGTTGGGGACCCCTGTCTTATAGGCTACAATAGAGAAAGTTTCTTGCGAGTTGATGTGCTTCTGGACAAGCTGCAAATGGCCCGTGTTTCATCTCAAGCTGCTTTTTCCACATCAAATGCCTTTTCACAAACGGGGAATGATCAGTCTTCTGTTTGTTCCTCTTTTAATCCGCATTCGGAGCCTATTCCTACAAAGCCTTCCTTGCACTTCGAAATAGATGTATGTATTCCTAATCTATAGGAATTATTAACAGTAGTAATCTCTCTGTCTTTATAGCTGATATACAATACCATCCATGGTGTATTGTGAGGCAGAGATGATAGAAATGTATTCACCAAGCAAAAAAACAAGCTGCGATCCGATATGTTGGCAGCATGAGACGCTTTTGCAGGGCTTTCCTAAAATTTGATATTCCACAAAGATTATTTACCACATGTAATGTCTCTTTTTTTTCCACACTGTTTGATTTTTCTTGAATTGTATTTTGCACACAGCGCAGCTTCTGTGCCCGACTTGAATCAAAAGTGCATGTTAGTCGGGCGCAGAAAAGGAAAGTGGGGGGTGGGGGGGGTCGCACTGCTGGTGGTGAGATATGCTGTATGATATTTAATAAGGGAATGGTGATATCATTGTAACTGTATGGAGCTCATTCTGTTGACTGTATCTGTATGTACCGTCATCTTCCTTTTTGCATTAAATAACGCTCTATGCAAATGCGAGCAAACATGCTGCTGTTTTTTTTATTTTTTTTTTTATCAAGAAACACATACAAATAAGTCAGAGGAAATTTAAATATTTGCCTTCTAAGCCAGTTTAAAAATAAACAGAGCCCTTGCAGGAAACTTTATTATTAGGATCTAGCTAGGGACCCATTTATTGTTGTTCTTCTTGTTGTTGTTGGTGTCAATGGCGTCGCTATAATTAATATATAGTTTTATTATCACTTCCTCTGATGTTTTCATTGCACTCAATCCAAATGGTTAATATCTTTGTACCTTGCCAAGTCCGTCCTCCATCTGTAAATGTTCACAACTGTGCAAAGGCTAGCCTTCCGAGCCAAAGTGGGCGTGGCTTAGCTCTGAGAGGGGTGGTTGTGGGGGGGGGAAAAAAAGGGAGGGGGGGGGGGGGGGGGGGTCGCACTGCTGGTGGTGAGATATGCTGTATGATATTTAATAAGGGAATGGTGATATCATTGTAACTGTATGGAGCTCATTCTGTTGACTGTATCTGTATGTACCGTCATCTTCCTTTTTGCATTAAATAACGCTCTATGCAAATGCGAGCAAACATGCTGCTGTTTTTTTTATTTTTTTTTTTATCAAGAAACACATACAAATAAGTCAGAGGAAATTTAAATATTTGCCTTCTAAGCCAGTTTAAAAATAAACAGAGCCCTTGCAGGAAACTTTATTATTAGGATCTAGCTAGGGACCCATTTATTGTTGTTCTTCTTGTTGTTGTTGGTGTCAATGGCGTCGCTATAATTAATATATAGTTTTATTATCACTTCCTCTGATGTTTTCATTGCACTCAATCCAAATGGTTAATATCTTTGTACCTTGCCAAGTCCGTCCTCCATCTGTAAATGTTCACAACTGTGCAAAGGCTAGCCTTCCGAGCCAAAGTGGGCGTGGCTTAGCTCTGAGAGGGCGTGCTCCAAGTAAAGATAGCGAGAGAGCCGTCAGAGCGTCACAAACATCAGAGTCCACTCCTGGGGGCAGCATGTCGATTTTGGAAGAGGCTTCGGCTCAACTGCTTACATCCAGCGCCACACCGGTGCTGGCCTGCGTCGCTGCGCTGCTATTCCTCGTTTTCGCCTCCGGACACTTAAGATCACCGAAGGATGCTAGAAGGGGGCCTCCAGGACCGTGGCCTTTGCCACTGCTTGGCAATGTGCTGCAATTGGATCTCCAGTGGCTCGACAGAAGCCTGTCTGAGGTAAATGTGCAACTCCCTGCTTGCCCAGTTGTCTCTTCTTAAGGTACTTTTGAACTAACTTTTTCCTCTTTTTGTAGCTTGCAAAACGTTACGGTTCAGTGTTCTCCGTCTACATGGGCACCCAAAAAGTGGTGGTGCTGGCTGGATATAAGGCGGTCAAAGAGGCTCTAGTCAGCCATGCAATGGAGTTTGGAGAGCGCTATATCCAACCCATGGCTTACGATAACAGTCGGGGTCATGGTAGGACAAGTCCTTTGAACGTTTTTTATTTATATATTGGTATTCCAATGTATACCGTATTTATAAAATATTTTTCTCAATTGCTCCACTTTTTTCACCTGTATAAAAAAAAATTATGTCTTTCACAGGCATTATTTTTGCCAATGGGGATTCGTGGAAAGAACTAAGACGTTTTGCCCTCCACACTCTGCGAGATTTTGGCATGGGCAAAAGACTTACGCAGGACAAAGTCTTAGAGGAGTGCAAGCATCTCATTCCAATTTTTGAGAGTCATCAAGGTGAGAGGTCCAATTGTGGCCTGGTAATTTTATGTTGACCTCTGTTCTACTTTGTTGTTTTATTGCTTTATATCGAGCTCTGTTCTCAAACTGGTTAACGGCAATGTTTCATGTCAGCAGATTACAAGCGATTTGATGGGGTATATTAAATACAATGCAGTTGAACTTTCCACTTCAGTGGCTTGGAATAAATTATGCAAGACCAAACCACTACTGACAAGTCAGCAAAATAAGGGAGACTTCACCTCACTTAACCGTACACAAGACAAAAAAAATGAGAATTTTCTGAAAAAGAGTCATTTAAACCCCAACATTTTAAATAATTGTCAACCTGTATCCAAATGATCATTTTTAACTAAAAGATTGGAATTTAGAAAAAAAATACAAAGTTTATTTGAAGGTGTGGATACATGTTCCTCCAGAACACATGAAATTGAATGTGGTGTGCTCCAAGGGTCAATTTTAGGCCCAATACTTTTTCATCTATATATTTCATCATGCACAATCATGCAGGCTTATTTCTAAGTCAATGGTTTTGAAATGAGAGCAACTTGGAAGTCAACCAGCATTTCCTTCAGGGCAACCGTTCAATACGACGTCTCCGTTGAGTTGGGCGACATCCAACATCATCTGCTCCATCGTGTATGGGAACCGATTCGAATACAGCGATCCTCAATTCACGACCATGGTGAAACGAAACAATGAGAGTATTCGCATCTTTGGTTCATTACCGATACGGGTGAGCTCCATGTTTGCATTTTTTTTTCTTCTCCTGCACTGATGCGCTGTCAAACGCATTTTATTTCAGGAGGCACAGTGACCTAAATTTGATCTCCATTGAGCTGGACCAATATAGTTGTGGCCTAATAAGCTATAGTATTGATGAGTGCAATTTCAACAAATTATGAATCATGACTGTCTTCACTTGACACGTGCAATTTACAGCTCATAGTAGATCTATATCCTGACATTATATCCCTATTGGGTATCGCTGCTGTATCAAATTTCCATTTTGTTTGTGTTGCAGCTCTACAACATGTTCCCATGGTTGTTCTATTGGGTCAAAAACCGGAAATTGCTTCTGAGCAACCGCGACAAGAACATGAAGGACGTGCGAGAGCTTCTCCGCCAACGGAAGGAGAAGCTCAACCCTGAAATGTGCACGGGGCTTGTTGACTGCTTTTTCGTCCGCAAGCAAAAAGAAGAGGTTTGCCTGCACCTCTGTCTTGGTGGGAGCGGGGGGGGTCCTCGCTTTATGACTGAGTCCCGTTCCTTTGCACAGCACTCTGTCACAAACCTTTGGTAATAGTTGTTTTGAAACACACTTCCAAGGCCAATGAGAATAATGAAGTACAGCGATAAGTGAACATGCCCAGCACTGTAATTCATTGCACGCCGTTTGTAGCCTCCTTCAAAGTGAGGACCCCCCCACCCCCAACCCTGAACGTTGATTGGTCTATGCATTAAACATGTTTTCCCACTTCCATTAGGAAGAGGGTGTTGAGTCAAGCCACTTCTCGGAGGAAAACATGAATTTCGTTGTGGGCAATCTGTTTGCTGCGGGCACCGACACCACCTCCACCACACTCCAGTGGGGCTTGCTGCTCATGGCCAAATATCCAGAAATGCAAGGTAGGCACACGGGCAGCACTGTGCAGTAGTTTGCCTCACAGTCAATAGGCTCTGGGTTCCAATTTGCACTTGCACGGCTTTTCAGTTCTTTTGGAAATGGAACAATGGACCAGGTTAATTGTAGATAAAGTGGTCAAAATTTATGTTCTATATATTTTTCTTACATACATTAAAATAATAATATACCTGACTACTATTATTAATTTATACTGTATTTCTTATTTTTTATTTTCATTCCATTTTCCCCAATTCTTTAATAAAATTAATGACCAATTTTAAATGAATAACTATTGCTTATTTTAACTGCTGCGTTTTTTTGTCCTAACCTTGACAATAAATAATTGAATATAAAAAGATAAATACATTTTACTAACCAATTTTTGACAAAAAAAAAAAAGATGAATGAAGCAAATCTTACTCTTATTGTAAATGCTCGTGGGCTTCTTTAATTCATTTTTTTCCAGAACGCGTCCACGAGGAGCTGAACAAGGTGATCGGAAACAGGCCGATTGACGTCGATGACCGCAAGAACCTTCCTTACACCAACGCCGTCATCCACGAGGTTCAGAGATTCAGCAACATCGTCCCCATGGCCATTTTGCACCAAACCACGCAGGACATCACCTTCCAGGGCTACTTCATCAAAAAGGTCATTTCCTGTTGTGTTGGGTGTCAAACTTGTTTTCATGGCGGGCCACATGGGAGTGATGGTTGCCCTCCGGGGAACAATATTTGCTCTTTTCAAATCCGCAAATATCAGCAGGTTTTTGCTTATTTCACTTATCAGAATTTTATTCTGCCAAATATCAGTATTAGCCTAAAAAAAAAAAAAAAAAAAAAGACCAGTCAGACTGGAATATTTAACTCAAATTTGCCTTTAGAAAATCTATGAGGTTAACGCATGATCAGAAATGCCATAGACAGGCTAACTAGCATTGATATTACCTTAATTATAAACCCAAAAACAAACTGTAGCAACACATGCAGACAGACAATGCAGTAACCTGTACTTTTTTTTTTCCTTTTTAAGAATACGATTTGTCAAGTTGAAATCTGTCAATCAGAAAATCCTACAGATACATTTGTCTTTCAGCCATTGATAGTCTTTCGTCTAAAAAAATAAATAACATGATGTGGCCCGTATGACACGTGTCCTATGGATACACACTGAACTCATTCGGTCTTTCCCCTCACAAACAGGGCACCGTTGTGGTTCCTCTGCTTACTTCCGTCCTCTACGACAAGAGTGAATGGGAGACGCCAAACACCTTCAACCCTTCCCACTTCCTGGATAAGGAGGGTAACTTTGTCACGAGGGATGCCTTTTTGCCCTTCTCGGCAGGTACATCCAGTACTGTAAATACTGTACATGCATCAACATAAAAGCCGAGAAAAATTTTTTTTTTAAATTGCGGTGCGATCATTTTTCAGGTCGCAGGGTTTGTCTGGGTGAGGGTCTGGCCCGGATGGAGCTCTTCCTCTTCTTCACGTCTCTCATGCAACACTTCCACTTCACTCCTCCTCCTGGAATTTCCGAGGATGAGCTGGATTTGAAGCCCATGGTGGGCTTCACCAACAATCCCACGCCTCACCGGCTATGTGCCGTCAGGCGCGAGTGATGCACAAATGCTCTTCACAGTGGTCCTTAAAAATGCAAATTACTCCCTGTATCTTTTTTTTTTTGTGTAATTGCTCACCAGAATGAGGAATATTGTATCTCACATCTTATGGATTGTTTACTGAATAGTATGTGGCATTTTTTATTCAGTGATGCACCTTACATTTAAAATACATCTCATAAATAAAACACAAACAAATCATTTCATGTTTTTATTCTCCTGCAATTCCAATGAAGTTGGGACGTTGTGTCATCAAGTTCAACCTTGGTTGAATCGAATACATTACAAAGACAAGCTATTTCATGTTCAAACTGATAACCTTGATTGTTTTCCGGAAATAATCACTAAATAATTTTACAGCTCTAACACATTCTAAAAAACAGCTGGGACAGTTGGCCAAAATGTGGTGGAATGCTCATTAAACACCCGCTTGGAGTATCCCACAAGTGAACAGGGTGACTGGGATCAGCTTGGAGTCATTCAAAAGCAAAAATGGGGCAAGGTCCACCTCTTTGTGAACAACTGTTGTGAGAAAATAGTCCTACGGTTTAAAGGACCATTCATGCTGAAAGACACTTCACAGGTTTTGTCAACGTCTTTTTCATGGACATGAAGAAAGAATGGGAAAGAATTCCACCTACAAAGCGTCAAGAGTTTGTGTCCTCACTTCTCAAACGTTGAGTGAATGTTGTTAAAAGAAAAGGTGATGTAACACAGTGGTTAACATGACCCTGTGCCTGCTTTTTTTTTTTTTTTTTGTGGGTTTGTAGGTATGACCTTTGTATCCTTCTTGCCCCACTCCAAGCGGGTTACTCCAACATACCTAGTACATTTTGATTGTTAAACTTTATCTGTCAGTTCTTCCTTGGTGCCTTGTGAAAAGATGTTTGAAGACATCCTGCAGGCTCCTGTTTTGCTCTCTTTATCGGGGACCTTCGCCACGTTGCTGGCCATCCGTCTTCTCTTGAGCTTCCGAAGCCAACCTAAGTTGGTACCTCCAGGGCCCAGACCGCTCCCCCTGCTCGGGAACCTGCTTCAGGTGGATCTCAAGAGACAGCACGAGTCTCTTTTCAGTGTAAGGGACTCTTTTCTTTTTGGCTAGCAAAAAGGTGCTGTTGACTGTAATGTCTTAACCCCCACCTGATTATTTCTTATATATTTTTTAAACCAATTTAGCTGTTTTAGTGTCAATGTAATGAAACGTTTTGTCTGGTTTATCAATTGAAGTTTGGCAAGAACTACTTAATTATTTACATTCTTTATTTGAAATTGCTATTCCTCTGTTTTTATAAAGCACTACCTTTATGCTATGCTGAACTGAAATGACAGGAGAGTGATTGATTCCATGTGATATTATAAATTTGCAAAGAGAGAGTGTCAAATAACCTACTGCGCTCGAATGGAGCAAATAAATGACAGCATTTTGATTTGAAAAAGTGAAGAGAAGGATTATATTTGAATTGAACTAAACTTTCTTTGGCAGCTGTCCAAAACCTATGGACCGGTTTTCACGGTCTACTTTGGACCCAAGAAGGTGGTGGTCCTGGCCGGAAGCAAGACAGTTCGACAGGCCCTCATCAACTATGCCGAGGAGTTTGGGGACAGAGACATGAATCCGCTCTTCTACGATTTGACCGAAGGACATGGTAATTCAAACTGATGGTACAATTGAGTGACTACTCTCGTTACGTATAATATTTGTGGGCGCACCAGAGCTGCTTGTACAAAACAGACAAAAAAATTCTGGACTAACTTGACATATTACACACAATTCAACAGCGAATTGAGGGACACTTCTGAACTGCTACACACTGAAATGTGAAACTTAAGCAAAATATGCATCCTCATGGGCTGTGCTATTACTGTACTTGAGTGAACAGTCCGTCACGTGGTGGCGCTTGTTAACAAAGTGTCAATGATTTAAAATTTCTCACACAAGTTCCTGTCGATACGCCGAACAACACAGCAAGTGTAGCTAGCTTAAAATTGTACATACGGGAAGCACGGTTGAAATTTTATTAACTGGGTCAAATTGCACAACTGCACGTTTACAGTAACGTAAACCACGTGAGCTAATTTAAAAACTGTATAGCCTACTTTAGTAAACTAAAAAGAATTGTAATCCCTCCACTAGTAGTCAAGATAGACACAGCCGCCAGCGCAGCATTGTCAAAATTGCTTTATTGAACCAAGGTAAAGGTAACAAACACATGCTCCTGCGTGTTGTATTAGTATTATGCACAAAGCTTTTAAATATGGCTGCAACATGATTATTGTCCAAAATCTCTCACGGGAAAGAAATTTAAAGCTTCTCTTGGAATTTTCTAGCCACGTTCATACACTTGAATTCCAAATTAAATGACTGCATATCTATATTAGATATATAATGTGCATATGGGGAAAAGTATAAAGTGTATATATAAAGTGTTCCGCAGTCCGCCTGAGTTGTTTTGAGTCCCAGCGAAACAGTTGCCGCTTGCTTCCAGGCATCATATTTGCCAACGGGGAATCATGGAAGGAAATGAGACGTTTCAGCTTGACGACGCTGAGAGACTTCGGGATGGGCAAGAGGCTCAGTGAGGAGAAAATTATCGAGGAGTGTCACTTCCTCATCGAAGAATTTGAACAACACAAAGGTACAGAAGACACCCTTAAATAGTTAAAGCAAACCTTTTTAAACGTTTTAAATTTATCACAAGGGGAACGCTGTAATAAAGACACCTCAGTCCGTTGCGAATGTTTCGAATGCATTTTTATTTGTTCCAGGTGAAGCCTTTGACAACGCGAAAATCATGACCTTCGCAGCTTCCAATATCATCTCGGCAATCATGTTCGGCAAGAGGTTCGAATACGAAGACAAGGTTTTCCAAGACATGGTCGAGAGAGACCTAGAGAGCAACCTTCTGGCTGGATCGGCCGCTGTCACGGTACTATTATTACTCAAACGTTGACTTTCTATGTAGAATAGAAAATAGTCATGATCCATATGGATAAAATAATAGCCAATAAAATCATATGAACGAGAAAAATAATATTCCTCACCCCTGAAATGAAAATGAGATTTATTCATTGATGCTCCATGGCAGCTATACAATTTTTTCCCCTGGCTGGGCCCCTACCTCAAAGCCTGGAGAGATTTGATGCGCAACATGGATATTAACAAGCAGCATACAAGAAACATCATAGCCAAGTTGAAGGAGACGCTCAACCCTGACATTTGCAGAGGGTTTGTCGATGTTTTCTGCACACGGATGAAAAATCTGGAGGTAGGATGCTGTCCTTTAATTGACATTTCCACTTCATGTAAGGTCCAGACACAACCCCCTTTTTTTTAACTCTCCTCCTCCCTAAAGTGTACATTTGATATGTTGATGGGAGTAAAATTTATGTTCTTCAGACAGACAATCTGAAGGCACTCAAATGACTAAATACGCTCCTGCCTACCTTAATGCCCTCGCGCGTGCAGCTGTGTCACAACAAATCAAGGTCAAGGCTGTGTTTTCTTTCCTGGAGCATGAAACCCAGAAGCTGCACTACCACGACGACAACCTGGTCAGCAGCGTGATAAATTTGTTCGGGGCGGGCACTGACACCACAGCCAAGACGCTTTCTTGGAGTCTGCTTTATATGGCCAAGTACCCTCAAATTCAAGGTGCCCTCATGAAACCAATGTGTGAGTTCTTACTGGCTAGAGTTGCATTTACTCTCCATGTTTTCTAATCTGCCACGCAGATCAAGTCCAAGAGGAGCTGAGCAGGGTGGTCGGAGTCCGACAGGTCCAAACGGAGGACCGCAAGAACCTGCCTTTTGTGAACGCCGTCATCCATGAAACGCAGAGGCTGGCTAACATCGTCCCCATGGCCATCCTGCACCAAACCAGCAAAGACATCACTTTCCAGGGTTACTTCATCCCAAAGGTGTGCTTCTTGGAGTTTTGGTGTCGAGCAAGTCTGTTATCGTATTTGGACAAGCTCCTTCCATTGTTGCCTTCAATTTTGTCTTGAATAAATGAAAAGCAGACTCTATTGGGTTGAGGTCAGACTATTGCTTGGCCTTATTAAGTGGTTCTATTTAGGGTGCATCGATTGTAGGGGTGGACAAAAATTCATAAAATAAAATAATAGTTGAATTGTTAATTCTCATTTTTGCGATACAAGTGCTGACAATGAATGTAGGTATAATTATCTGACCAATTATTTGATAAAGGGCATTCAGTAAGTACTAAAAAAAAAAAAAAAAAAAAAACCCAACAAAAAAACCCACCAAAAGCCATCTTGTGGGGGAAAAAAAAGCATGTTTCAGCAGGGAGTGGACGATGAACCAGGGAGCACTGGCCAGTGCCACTCATGTTGTGGTATGCTTTGGAGCGTGAGCTGTTGCTTCAAATAGCAATGTCAACCCAACTTTATATTGCCACTTTTCGCCCAAAAGGGAACCACTGTCCTTCCTCTGTTGACTTCCGTCCTCTACGACGAGAGTGAATGGGAGACGCCAAACACCTTCAACCCTTCCCACTTCCTGGATGAGGAGGGTAACTTCATCAAGAGGGATGCTTTCTTGCCCTTCTCTGCAGGTACACTCGCCGCACGTACACTCCTGAAACATTTTCAACCATTTGACACGCGTCCTCATCACAGGCCGCAGGATGTGTCTGGGCGAGGGTCTGGCCCGGATGGAGCTCTTCCTCTTCTTCACGTCCCTCCTCCAGCGCTTCCGCTTCACTCCTCCACCCGGGATTTCTGAGGACGAGCTGGATTTGAAGCCCGTGGTGGGCTTCACCCTCCGCCCCACGCCTCACCGGCTGTGTGCCGTCAGGCGCCACTGAGGAGGAGTTTTTAATCTGAAACCCCTTTGCACTCAATCAAATGTGATGCAGTGAACCCTCGCAAATTCACAGTTCGGCATTCCCTATTTGCGGCTTTTATTCGGGTGCCTATCTACCATTATTTGCCAAAATTGTTTCCATTTTAAGCAGTGGGTATTAGAATACAAAAAGTGCAACTGCAATAATATTAACAATGCCCACTGGCATATGTTCTGTATTCAGTGCAAAAAAAAAATATTGATATTACTGCAGTTTACTGAGCAAATGTAGCCATCTACTTTGTGTCAGATGTGGGAAAAAAATGACGAAACCTCACTGCTGATGAACGAAAACCCCATCGTGGTCACGGAAATAACTTGAATCTGACGGGAGTAACAATAAATAAGAATTTAATGACATCTCTATACACCAACTGTATACTTCTTTACATTCTATTTAATTATATGATGATGTTCGTAAAAATGATACTTGGAATTCTCTTGTTTTAAATTTCACCAACTGCCTTTTACAAGTGTTCACCTGCTCAACAACGTGTTTTTGTCTCATCGTACACTTACATACATGACCTTTGCATGCTTCTTGCTTTTTTTTTTTCCTTCAGTTTGAATTTATTGGTGATTCGTTGAGCGCACTGCTGAAACACGCCCAGTGGATTGTGATAGGTACACTTTATCTGGAAGCTCCTCCTCAACTTTTTCACAGGGAGTCAAAGATTGTGTTTGCATAATTTGGTGCCTTGTGAAAAGATGTTGGAAGAACTCTTGCAGGCTCCTGTTTTGCTCTCTTTGTCGGGGGCCTTCGCCACGTTGCTGGCCATCCGCCTTCTCTTCACCCGCTTGAGCTTCCAAAGCCAGCCTAATTTAGTACTTCCAGGGCCCAGACCGCTCCCCCTGCTCGGTAACCTGCTTCAGTTGGATCTCAAAAGACTGGATGAGTCTCTTTTCAGTGTGAGGGATTCTTTATTTCTGTCTTGCAAGTACTGTTGAGTTTTAGAAATGTAATGCAACTTTTTGTCTGATTGTATCATTTTGTATTTCAGTTCTGTACAGGGGGGAATGTGCAAGTTAAAAATGTTTTTAAAAATACAATAGAATAGAATGATATTTTTTTAATTTTTATTTTAAAATCTCATTGTCAAGGACATCTTGAGAATCGGAATCTTAACCCAAATATGTTAAAAAGTAATTGGAGCCACAATAACTCTCTCTATCTCTCAATGTATATAAGACATAAACACAAAAAGGGCAGAGATTTAGAGTTCCATTACATACAGTAGAACGCATATGACCAGAGAGGCTCAAGTTTCAACTTGGCCTTTGGGAAAATAAAATATGCTGTCCTGAACTGAACTGTACTGAATCGAACTGTCAACAGAGCGATTTCATGGAATTTTAGTAGTTTCCAAAAGAGGTGTCTCATAGCCCACTGCGCTCAAATGTAGCAAATGAATGACAGCATTTTGATTTGAAGAAGTGAAGAGCAGGATGACATTTGAATTGAACAAAACATTCTTTGGCAGCTGTCCAAAACCTATGGACCGGTTTTCACCGTCAAATTTGGACCTAAGAAGGTGGTGGTCTTGGCCGGGACCAAGGCGGTCAAACAGGCTCTCATAAACCATGCCGAGGAGTTCGGGGAGAGAGACATCAATCCGTTATTCCACGATTTCAACCAAGGACATGGTAATTAAAATCTTCTTCGTGCGAGCTTTCATAATACACAAAGAAAATGGGCTTGAACAAACCCATTGAAGTGTGATTGGCCAAACTTTCCTTTGACGACTGCTCCTCATTTTTTTTATTATCGAGAGACATCGATTAAGATATATTTGGGGACAAACGAGACCTGTTTGAACAAAACAGACAAAAATTGTGGACTTTCTTGAAATTGTACACACAATTTTATGATGAACTTCTGGATGAACTTCTCTTAAAATGCTACGTTCACAAATTGGAAACTTGAGCAGAATGTGCATCTTCGTTGTGCGGGTTGTGTTTTTACTTTTGTGAGCAGTCTAACACATGGGGGCGCTGTTAACTAAATTCACATTGATTTGAAATTTATTTCCCAGGGTCGTCGAAACGAGCTAAACAAGACAAGCAACGCAAAAACTGTATTGGTATTATGTAAAAATATGGCCGTAACATGATTTCGAAATTTCTCACGGCAAAGACATTTCAAGCTCGTCTGGAATTTTCTCAGCACGTTTATACACGTTAAGACCCAAATTAAATGGCTGCGGTGTTCCTCGGTGCTTCTGAGTGGTTTTGAGCCCCGGTGAAACAGTTGCCGCTTACTTCCAGGCATCATATTTGCCAACGGGGATTCATGGAAGGAAATGAGACGTTTCACCCTGACGACGCTGAGAGACTTCGGGATGGGCAAGAGGCTCAGTGAGGAGAAAATTATCGAGGAGTGTCACTTCCTCATCGAAGAATTTGAACAACACAAAGGTACAGAAGACACCCTTAAAAAATTAAAGCAAACCTTTTACATGTATCACGGGCTGTAACAAAGGCACTTCAGTTCGTTGCGAATGTTTCTAATGCATTGTTTTTTTTTCCAATTCATCTTAGGCGAAGCCTTTGACAACTCAATAATCATGAGCTACGCAGCTTCCAATATCATCTCGGGGATCATGTTTGGAAAGAGGTTTGAATACAAGGACAAGGTTTTCCAAGAGATGATAGAGAGAGACCACGAGACCATCTACATGGCTGGATCGGTTGCTATCTTGGTACCCCAAATAATAATCAAATGTAGACGAAGTATGGCTAAAAATCTGAGTCTTCTTGTAGTTTTATGCTGTTTAGGTACACCTGCTTCTTCTACACCACAGGTGTTAAAGTCAAGGCCCGGGGGCCAGATTCGGCCCCCCATATGTCATTTTATGTGGCCCACAGAAGCAAATACTGTGTGTCAACTATCATGATTCTTGCTGAAATCTGTACCGAAATGTCAAATTGTCATGGCTAATAAATAACGTTGAGATTTTGCACCGGCCCTCCGATGGAAGCCGTAACTCCGAAGTGGCCTGCGACAAAAAAATGAGTTTGACACCCGTGATCTACACCAAGTACTCACTCAAAAAATAACATCATAAAATAAAAATCAACCAAATAAAATAATGGTTCATAAAATGAGGACAATTGTCTCAATACAATTTATATTAACATTCAATGAAGTACAATTCATAACTGATGCAATATATTTACAACAAAGAGGAGTAAGAATAATAAAGATTAAAACAGAATATTGATTAAAATTGCGGGCGTGTGTGTGTCTACAGTATTTGTTAATGTATTTCATGACAGAACTGCAATAAGATGAACAAAATGGATTGAGAATAATGATTGAAAAAGCAGATACGAAAACAGGTAAATAGATGACTAATTCCGTCCAGATGTTATTTGAACTGCTTATCCTCACGAGGATCGCTGGCGTGCTGGATGAATGCATTTAAATCTACAGGATACAAAACAAAATAACATTTATTTCATTGCTAGGACATTATAAAACCAAGATACATGAAAAATTAATTGATAAAATTAAATAAAATCGGTACTACATCAACTTAGTATAAAAAAAAATCATGTCTTCCGATAAAGTAAGTAAATATGTTCTGTAAATGGGTTGTGGCTGTTTATTCCTGAATTCTGCATTATTTAGATGTTCTATTTATAATGTCCATCATTATTCCTCCCCCACAAATGATATTGACTGTTTTGCTCCATGACAGATATACAATTTTTTCCCCTGGCTGGGCCCTTATCTCAAAACTTGGAGGAATATGATGCATAATGTGGACATTACGAAGCAGCATGCAAGAAACATTATAGCCGAGCTGAAGGAGACGCTCAACCCTTACGTTTGTAGAGGCTTTGTCGATGTTTTCTGCACACGGATGAAAAATCTGGAGGTAGGATGCTGTCCTTTAATTGATGTTTCCACTTAATGTAACAAACATCACTTCTAGGTCACCAGGCCAGCAGGTACAAGCAGCAGCATCCAATGGCAGCCAATCATTTTAGGCTCCCTTGGTTGGCTCGGCCATATCACCCCAAATCAAGCAAAGTTAAGGTTCCAACTGTATGTGTTTTTTTTTTTTCCCTGGAGCACGAAATCCAGAAGCTGCACTACCATGATGAAAACCTGCTCAACAGTGTCATCAATTTGTTCGGAGCGGGCACTGACACCACAGGCAACACACTTAGCTGGGGTCTTCTCTTCATGGCCAAATACCCTCAAATTCAAGGTGCTCCTCATGATACGAATGCACATGTTCTTCCTGACTTCAGTTGCAATTACATGTTTTCCAATCTCCTGCGCAGATCAAGTCCAGGAGGAGCTGAGCAGGGTGGTCGGAGTCCGACAGGTCCAAACGGAGGACCGCAAGAACCTGCCTTTTGTGAACGCCGTCATCCACGAGACGCAGAGGCTGTCCAACATCCTCCCCATGGCCATCCTACACCAAACCAGCAAAGACATCACTTTCCAGGGTTACTTCATCCAAAAGGTGCGCTTCTTGGAGGTTGCACGTTGGACATGTCAACACAGCTGTAAATTGGCACTTTTTGCCCAAAGGGGACCGCCGTCCTCCCTCTGCTGACTTCCGTCCTCTACGATGAGACCGAATGGGAGACGCCAAACACGTTCAACCCCTCCCACTTCCTGGATGAGGAGGGTAACTTCGTCAAGAGGGATGCTTTCTTGCCCTTCTCTGCAGGTACACTCATCGCACGTACACTCTTGAACCTTTTCAACCATTTGATGCACATCCTCCGCACAGGCCGCAGAGTGTGTCTGGGCGAGGGTCTGGCCCGGATGGAGCTCTTCCTCTTCTTCACGTCCCTCCTCCAGCGCTTCCGCTTCACTCCTCCACCCGGGATTTCTGAGGACGAGCTGGATTTGAAGCCCGTGGTGGGCTTCACCCTCCGCCCCACGCCTCACCGGCTGTGTGCCGTCAGGCGCCACTGAGGAGGAGTTTTTAATCGGAAACCCCTTTGCACTCAATCAAATGTGATGTGGTTAACCCTCGCATATTCACAGTTCGGCATTCCCTATTTGCGGCTTTTATTCGGGTGCCTATCTACCATTATTTGCCAAAATTGTTTCCATTTTAAGCAGTGGGTATTTGAATAGAGGGCTCTGGCCTTTTAGCAATTACCCACAATGCACTACCGGCGGCCATATTGGAGGGCTGTTATAAACAAGCCATACACGAATAGACTTCGTTTTTTCGGTTATACAAACCGTGCAACTGCAATAATATAACAATACCCACTGGCATATATTCTGTATTCAGTGCAAAACAAATATTGATATTACTGCAGTTTACTGAGCAGTTGTAGCCATCTTTGTGTATCGTGGAAAAAATTGACGGAACCTCACTGCTGATGAACGAAAACCCCATAGTGGTCACGGAAATAACTTGAATCTGACGGGAGTAACAATAAATAAGAATTTAATGACATCTCTATACACCAACTGTATACTTCTTTACATTCTATTTAATTATATGATGATGTGTTAGTAAAAATGATACTTGGAATTCTCTTGTTTTAAATTTCACCAACTGCCTTTTACAAGTGTTCACCTGCTCAACAACGTGTTTTTGTCTCATCGTACACTTACATACATGACCTTTGCATGCTTTTTGCTTTTTTTTTTTCCTTCAGTTTAAATTTATTGGTGATTCTCTGAACGCACTGCTGAAACACGCCCAGTGGATTGTGATAGGTACACTTTATCTGGAAGCTCCTCCTCAACTTTTTCACAGGGAGTCAAAGATTGTGTTTGCATAATTTGGTGCCTTGTGAAAAGATGTTGGAAGAACTCTTGCAGGCTCCTGTTTTGCTCTCTTTGTCGGGGGCCTTCGCCACGTTGCTGGCCATCCGCCTTCTCTTCACCCGCTTGAGCTTCCAAAGCCAGCCTAATTTAACGTCCAGTGCCCAGACCGCTCCCCCTGCTCGGTAACCTGCCTCAGTTGGATCTCAAAAGACTGGATGAGTCTCTTTTCAGTGTGAGGGATTCTTTATTTCTGTCTTGCAAGTACTGTTGAGTCTTAGAAATGTAATGCAACTTTTTGTCTGATTGTATTGTTTTGAATTTCAGTTCTATACAGGGTACGGGAATGTGCAAGCTAAAAATGTTTTTATAAAACACTATAGAATAGAATGCTTTTTTAAAAAATCTTCTCATTGTCAAGGACATCTTGGGAATTTTAACCCAAGTATGTTAAAAAGTAATTGGAACCACTCGAGTGTTACAGCCACAATAACTCTACAGTAGAACGCATATGACCAGAGAGCAGAGGCTCAAGTTTCAACTTGACCTTTGGGAAAATAAAATATGCTGTCCTGAACTGAACTGTACTGAATCGAACTGTCAACAGAGCGATTTCATGGAATTTTAGTAGTTTCCAAAAGAGGTGTCTCATAGCCCACTGCGCTCAAATGTAGCAAATGAATGACAGCATTTTGATTTGAAGAAGTGAAGAGCAGGATGACATTTGAATTGAACAAAACATTCTTTGGCAGCTGTCCAAAACCTATGGACCGGTTTTCACCGTCAAATTTGGACCTAAGAAGGTGGTGGTCTTGGCCGGGACCAAGGCGGTCAAACAGGCTCTCATAAACCATGCCGAGGAGTTCGGGGAGAGAGACATCAATCCGTTATTCCACGATTTCAACCAAGGACATGGTAATTAAAATCTTCTTCGTGCGAGCTTTCATAATACACAAAGAAAATGGGCTTGAACAAACCCATTGAAGTGTGATTGGCCAAACTTTCCCTTGATGACTGCTCCTCATTTTTTTTTTTTAATTGAGAGACATCTATTAAGATATATTTGAGGACATACAAGACCTGTTTGTACAAAACAGACAGAAATTGTGGACTTTCTTGAAATTATACACACGATTTTATGATGAACTTCAGGATATTTCTCCTCTTAAAATGCCACGTTCACAAATGTGAAACTTGAGCAGAATATGCATCCTCGTTGTGCGGTTGTGTCATTACTTTTCTGAGCAGTCCATCACATGGGGGCGCTGTTAACTAAATTCGCATTGATTTGAAATTTCTCTCCCAGGGTCGTCGAAACGAGCTAAAGAAGACAAGCAACTCAAACACTGTATAAATATTATGAAGAGCTTTTACATATGACTGTAACATAATTCCGAAAAATGTCACGGCAAAGACATTTCAAGCTTGTCTGGGATTTTCTAAGCACGCCTATAAACGTCAAGACCCAAATTAAGTCAAGACCCGGTGAAACAGTTGCCGCTTATTTCCAGGCATCATATTTGCCAACGGAGATTCATGGAAGGAAATGAGACGTTTCACCCTGACGACGCTGAAAGACTTCGGGATGGGCAAGAGGCTCAGTGAGGAGAAAATTATCGAGGAATGTCACTTCCTCATCGAGGAATTTGAACAACACAAAGGTACAGAAGACACCCTTAAAAAAATTCAAGCAAACCTTTTACATGTATCACGGGCTGTAACAAAGGCACTTCAGTTCGTTGCGAATGTTTCTAATGCATTGGGTTTTTTTTTCCAATTCATCTTAGGCGAAGCCTTTGACAACTCAAAAATCATTAGCTACGCAGCTTCCAATATCATCTCGGGGATCATGTTTGGAAAGAGGTTTGAATACGAAGACAAGGTTTTCCAAGAGATGATAGAGCGAGACCACGAGACCATCTACCTGGCTGGATCGGTTGCTATCTTGGTACCCCCAAATATTATTCAAATGTAGACCAAGTATGCCGTTACTTGAACTACTGCGTGCTGAATAATGCATTTAAATCTACAGGATACAAAACAAAACATTTCTTTCATTGCTATGACATGATAAAATCAATATAGATTCACAATTAATTGATAAAATTAAATAAAATCGACATCAACTTAATATTAAAAAGAAAAACATGTCTTCCTGTAATGTCAGTAAAAAAAGTGCTGTAAGTGGGTTGTGGCTGTTAATTCCTGAGTTCCGCATTATTTAAAATTTCTATTTATAATGTCCATCATAATTCCTTCCCCACAAATGATATTGATGTGTTTTCTTTTGCTCCATGACAGATATACAATTATTTCCCCTGGCTGGGCCCTTATCTCAAAACCTGGAGGAATATGATGCGTAACGTGGACATTACGAAGCAGCATGCAAGAAACATTATAGCCGAGCTGAAGGAGACGCTCAACCCTTACGTTTGTAGAGGCTTTGTCGATGTTTTCTGCACACGGATGACAAATCTGGAGGTAGGATGCTATATTTTAATGGATTAAAATCAATAATTTCCATGACGTACAAAGTCAAGCCTTAGAACCTCGCAACTCTTGAGGCCGATGTGCTCACCATGAGCCCACGGTCAGGGGTGGATTTAGCATAAGACAAATTCAGGTCAAGATTAACGGGACCCACCAACACATCTGGGTCACCAGGCCAGCCATGGCAAAGCAGTCGAGGCAGCAGCATCTTGTTTGGCTCAGCGATATCACCCCAAATCAAGCAAAGTTAAGGTTCCACCTGTATGTTTTTTTTCCCCAGGAGCACGAAATCCAGAAGCTGCACTACCATGATGAAAACCTGCTCAACAGTGTCATCAATTTGTTCGGAGCGGGCACTGACACCACAGGCAACACACTTAGCTGGGGTCTTCTTTTCATGGCCAAATACCCTCAAATTCAAGGTGCTCCTCATGATACGAATGCACATGTTCTTCCTGACTTCAGTTGCAATTACATGTTTTCCAATCTCCTGCGCAGATCAAGTCCAGGAGGAGCTGAGCAGGGTGGTCGGAGTCCGACAGGTCCAAACGGAGGACCGCAAGAACCTGCCTTTTGTGAACGCCGTCATCCACGAGACGCAGAGGCTGGCCAACATCGTCCCCATGGCCATCCTGCACCAAACCACCAAAGACATCACTTTCCAGGGTTACTTCATCCAAAAAGTGCGCTTCTTTGAGGTTGTACGTTGGACATGTCAACACAGCTGCAAATTGGCACTTTTTGCCCAAAGGGGACCGCCGTCCTCCCTCTGCTGACTTCCGTCCTCTACGATGAGACCGAATGGGAGACGCCAAACACGTTCAACCCCTCCCACTTCCTGGATGAGGAGGGTAACTTCGTCAAGAGGGATGCTTTCTTGCCCTTCTCTGCAGGTACACTCATCGCACGTACACTCTTGAACCTTTTCAGCCATTTGATGCACATCCTCATCACAGGCCGCAGGGTGTGTCTGGGCGAGGGTCTGGCCCGGGTGGAGCTCTTCCTCTTCTTCACGACCCTCCTCCAGCACTTCCGCTTCACTCCTCCACCTGGGATTTCTGAGGACGAGCTGGATTTGAAGCCTGTTGTGGGCTTCACGCTCCATCCCACGCCTCACCGGCTGTGTGCCATCAGGCGCCAATGTCAGTCAGAGGGGATTTTTCCCCCAGACACATCCTCAAAGAAGATTAACTAAATAAAATAAATAAAGTAAATTGAATGATTTAACATTTACATAAATACAACAATAAAATTTGAAGTTGGAGAGAGAATTATGCTTGGAATTAAAAAAACAAAACAAATTAAAAGTAAGCCAACTGCAATTTAATTTTACGTCAAATTGTAAATGAAAAGGAAAAATGAATGGACTGTGTAATCTTGTCTCAATAACTCAAATTGTTTGCCAGGGAGTGAGATATTAGAGGTTAAGATTTACACCAAGACCTGAAATTGACATTCAAGTTCAACAGTGGACTTTTGAATCGAAATGAAAATAAAATGGAAAAGGAAACATCGGAAACAAGTGCTGCGTTCAAGTGTGTTAACGAGATGAAGCCTCCTGTTTGGTGTCTTTCCGGCGTCTGCCAGCAAGTGGTGCTGTCGTGCGTTTGCGCTCCTGGTCTTGTTTTATGGTGCCACGCGCGTCACACGGGGTGTCTCCGTTCCAACGGAAAATGTGGGCGCGTGCGTGACAGTTGCGACGTTCAACACAGCCATACCAAAAACTCACGCAGGCAGTTCCCTTTTGAAGTAAGTGTGTTTCAGAAACTTTTACAAGCTTTGGACTAAATACCGGACGATCAGAATAAAAGTGGAACTTTCCGTCTGCACACGGAGAGAGTCGCCTTGTGAGTGTTCAATTCTTTCTGTTTGAAATAGGCTCACCTGCGCCGTCAGGACGTTACGCTTTGTATTTTTAGCCTAGCTCGTTTAAATGGACGCCCCTGGCTAACGTTGATGACTTTCAATGTCATTTGAAGACTTTGTGCCGAATTGACAGTCGTTCGGCAAGATGATTGCCATGTTTGTTTGCCTTGAATGTGCTTGACTTTGAAGTTTGTCAAACTAACCACGAGTTTACTGCAGTTGTTGTTGACAAACGTCTGAAATAAGCGTTTGAGGAGACTTTAGCGACGGTTGGACGTCTGTGCTAAAAATGTATTTATAGCCACTGAAAATGTGAATAGATACGTTGTGGATGTGAACTATCTTGCTTCTTTCATCTTGGATCGGAAAGCGAGCGCGCTTTTCTGCGGTTTCTGACGTCACATACGTGAGTCTATTTGCAGTGGACCCCGCGTACTCGCGCTTCAGCACCAGCGAATTCCTTTATTTGCAGTTTTATTTTGCGATTTTATTTTTATATTTTAAAATTTTTTTAATGACAATTTGGGGAAGGAGGTAACCCTTGTTTTTTTGTGGAAAGTGCTTATTGGTGGTTTTACTAAGTTTTCCCTTTTTTAAAAAAATAAAAAATATAATTTGAATTAATTTATATTGGACATGGATAACAGTATATGTGGATTTTATTTATTTATGGGCTGGCCTAGTCTTTTGTGGGGATCCACTATATATTAGTCTCCTGTTCATCACAGTGGTCATACATTAGATAGTCTTTGTGGTATCTTGGCATGCAAAAAAATGGGGGGGAGGTTCATGGAAAAATGTGAATAACAGTATAAAACATAATTAAGGAGAATGTAAATAAATACACTGGCTTTATAGTAAGTGTATTTATTTCCGACTTACTCAATGTCATCAATTTTTTTTTGGGGGGGGGGGCGTTTGAGTAGAAGTGATTATTATATGCAGCACTTGATACGTTGAAAGAAGGCTGGTATTGGGTCGATACCCCGATAATTAGGTTATATACTGTAGTACCCATGTGAGGTATGTGTGCCCTTCAAGAGGTGTGGCTTATTGAATGATATCAGGAGTTGTAATTGGGTTTGCGGATAACTTCGGTGTGGTCATTTGGGTGTGAGCTGTGTCCAACTGAAATGTTCTCTTTTAGTATTTTGTGTGATTGTTTGACAGCTGAAGTGAATCGCGACTTAGGGTTATCTTGCTCGCATGCGTGGCAGGGTCCAACTTGAAGCCTAAGTAAAGTTGTATGTGTGAATGTTGAAGATTTTAGACTCAGGGGCCGGAGTGCACGTGAGTACGTAGCGCACAAATGATTGATAAATTTGAGTTGATAAAACTTCAAATATTAAAAATTGAAAAACAAGAATGTGTTGACTTAATTTCATTTATGAAATTTTGTACTGGTGGCCCGGCCGGGCCAGTATTAGCGAACTTTGAATGGCTTGACTGTCATGTGGTAGCCCCGGGTCACAGTTCATGTCGCACCCTTCAAGGGTATTAGTGTTTCCTAATTGCCGTTCATGGTAACTTTGCGATGGACTCCTGTTTGCTGCAGTAGTTTTTTTTCCTCGTTTTCCAAAAATGTTAAAAAATGATGTCAGCAGTTATGCTATTAGTTGCTGGGAAGGCTTCTGAGTTGTGTGTCAAATAACCAATGTTGAGGCATTTGGGCTCAAATAAAGTACATTTCTTTGGCTTGTCTTAAATGCCAGTGTTTGACATGACAAAATATTTTGATTTTATTCATGATGCAGTGCAACATGTTACCACTTGATACAATTTTACAAGTCATTACAAACTTGAGTGCGTTTGTGTTTGGGGCGGGGGGGGGGGGCTTTCCCCCACTCTGCCATCCAAGTAAGGACCGCCACTGTGCTTAGATGACGTCAACGCACAATGGAGTGACTGTCTTTCAAAACTACGCCCCCCCCCTCGTGTGAGTGAATGCTGCAAATGTCCTTGTATGCTGCAAGTGTGATTGAAAGCTGCTGGTGCAACCGAATGCAACTCGGTCCTCTTGAATGCTGTCAAGTGTTATACTGTCCGCCGCAAGCGAGTGCAGCCCCGGCAGCTGTCAGGGAGCACATCGGGCTCCTCCAATGGATTCGAAGCGGCCGTGCAAAGTGGGAGGATCAGCCGCACAGCATCACAGCAGCCATCCTTGTGGCTTTGTCCGACCGGGAAGCCATTTTGGAAACAACAACACGCACACCCTCCCTCACTCCAGCCTCCCAACTTTCGATCGCGTTCAAGAGCACACAGGGTCGCGCCGCAAACCATAAGGAAGATTTTGATTCCCCTTTCTTCTTTTTTTTTTCTTGGGAAATGCCGCTGGAGGAAGTTTTGCTTGCCGACAGTCAGCAGTGGATTTTGGCCGTTTGGGAATCGCTGTAGGATGATGATACCGTTCAGGGATTCGCAGTACACGGGCAAGTTAACGGCACGGTAACGTGCAACAACGCCGTAGAACAAGCACAATAGCGTCTTGTTTTAAAAAAAAAAAAAACCGCTGGCCCCAAAACGAACGTGCAAAACTCGACGTACATTTGCGCTGCACAAACCCCCTGCGAATGGAAGTCAGTGTGCCTCGCCTGGGAAAAAAAAAAAGGTTCTAAATTTAGCATGCGGGAATGTAACCGGCTTCCATGTCGCCGTTTGCAGCTGGTCGAGTCGGTTCGAGAGCGCTGTCGCCGATTTGACGCGGGTCGTTGTTGGGGCCGGCGGCTGGCTCTCAGGTGGTTTGGCGTAAAGGGGCGAGCAAAGCTGACGTACAGAGCAGACACACAACACTTGACAGTGTGTCGGCGTGCCGCACGTTTCTGCTCACCACAAGTGCGAGGGTGCGTGTGTGTCTCTGAGAAAGAGAGAGAGAGAGTGTGTGTGTGTGTGTTTCTGCCGTTCAACCTGTATCTTTACGTTGTCGAGGGTTTGCAAAGCTGCAACTGGAATTGAGGGAGCTCCAAGTGCATGCAGCGAGATGTATTTGTTTGTTTTGCTTTGGTTGGCAACGGAATAAATCGTTTTATTCACAGCGTTAGATTAAGTAGAAAAAAAAAACACATCTTGGCTCATTTAAGGAGCTGACCCCCAGCTTTTGGATCTTGGCTCGAGTTTATGAGCCTCTTTTGGGCTCAAGGATCCCCGATTTGAAACAATTATGAGCTGAGCGATGGGATTTCAGGATTCGGACATCTGTTTGTTTGCATTTGTGTCAGCACGAAATGAGAACCTCCTTAAAAGTGTGAGTCTTCTTCTTCTTCTCCTTTCGGCACGTCCCTATTCAGGGGTCGCCACAGCGAGTCAGTAATTTCCATCCGCCCCTGTAAACCGTCCTACCAACTCGCATGGTCGTCTTGGCAAAAGTTTTACGCCGGATGCCATTCCTGACGCAACCCTCCCCATTAAAAGTGTGAGTAAAAAAGAAAAAACAAAACGTAATCATTCCGATTCTGTGAGGAAGCCCGGTGGTCACTCATGTAGCTTGTTTTAGGTCGAAAGACTGACTTGTACCGTCAGGACCACAGACACAGCACAATTTTTTTAAAAAACTGAAAATAGTGTCGCTTTGGCCATGTTTTGCACAACAATCATAATTGGAATCTCCAAAAATGTGAAAGTGTTTGAAAACTTTTGCATTGTAGGTCACCGCTAAAAGTAAAAAAACAGCCCTCTTAAGTGTTCATTAGGACCCGCAAATCGTAAGAGCAGAAAATAGTTTGAACAGAGAACTTCTGCAGTTCAACTCAGCACGTTTCCAGCTGGACATACACTGTGCATGATTTTCGAAGAGCTAAAAGTCTCGCTTGCCTTGTTCAGTCAAATAACCTTGCATGAAAATTCAAAGCTAACAATTGAAGCGTGAAAAACCTTGAGCCGCAAATCGACTGCTCCTTCTCTATATTATTGTTGTTGCTGTTACACTTAAGCCCTGCAGGTGTCAAGTGTGTTTTCCACCTGTTGCGGACCGTCAAAACAAATCAAGAAGACAACTTCTCCACTGTCTGTGGCAACTACTAAAAACTACGCTAACAAAAAACACGGTGGCCCGGAGCGGTGCCGAGTACGCAATATATCGCAACTGAACCTCGACTCAATTGATTCTCATTTTCGCCTTTGAAATCCTCCAATCTCAGTGTATGTCCATCTATTCTCGCGAGTCCCATAGATATCAAATAAGGTGATTTATTTTGTTGTTTTTAATAAAACGACAAGAAATGTACGTGCGCTTTCCCATTGAGTCGATCAGCTCATTAACTTTTACAATCTGCATATGACAAAAATGCCACTCCGACAAATGCAAATTCTGTCCTCTACTTGAGGTTAGCGACAAATTCTTGGCAATTATCAGTTGTGTGTTTACCCAGCCTGTAAATGCAGGTTCCGCTGTGAGAAGAGCAACTTCTTTGGCTCCCGTTTTCCCGCCCGTTTGGCTAATAAAAAAAAAAAAAAAACACGGCCCCACCCCTTGGTTTCATAACACTCTTCTTCCCTGTGTGCGGAGCTCACACAAGTAGTAGCTTCAACTCGGAGACGGCTCAAGGAGTAAGAGGATCTGCTCGCCTGTCAGTCGCTACCGGAGGGGGGACACGACCGCTTATTCGTTACCGTCAACTGGGGGTGGCGGCCAGCTGCGGCAACATGCACGAAGAGGTTAGGACAGGCACAATTACAGTGTCGTTGTTGTTCCTGCTCAAAGAGTTGTGTCGGGCCTACCTGAGCTGTTGTTTACCCTGACGTTGTTAAACGGAAACTCCAGAGCAACCGGGGCAGGGGGAGGGGAATTGTCTTGAAGTTGGATTTTTGTATCAAGGCAGCAACTTTTGTCTGTTTTGTGTATTTCGGGTTGACATTTTGAATGGTTTAAAACAAAGAGACAGGCTGAACGAGGCAGTGCTTTCGTGTGTGTGTGTGTGTGTGTATGGAAGTGAGTGTTTGCTAATCTCCCTGCACCGTGTCAGTGTGGGCTGACCCTATCCCCTTACATCCTGACTCTTGCAGTCTAAACAAAGAAGAATGACCATGGATTTTTCCCAACTGCACACATACACGCCGCCACAGTGTGCTCCAGAGAACACCGGCTATACCTACTCTCTCAGGTGAGACCCCCCTCCCACCCCCGGCATGTGTGAGCGCGGGTACGACAGAGGAACCTGTTGCCGATCAAGTCGATCCGCTCCGCTCTGACGCTTTTTTTTTTAAATTCAATCGCCAAGCTATTTGAAGGGGAAATATTTTGTCAGCTATCAGTGTTGCGTTTCGGGTTTATCTTGCTTTGACAGATTAGACCTTTCCACAAATTCCCTTCCGGGATTGTGGTTTTGATGGTCCGTCTGGCTCTTGTGTGTATTTGAAGTGGGATCAGTTATGGCGGGTGTTCGATGTTATTGTTTCTCCGCACTGTTATTTCATTTCCCATACCGAGGAAGAAAGCATGAGCTCGAGGGGGGGGGAAGTGTTTTTAACGGAGGCTGATTTTTCAGTTTTTAGGAGAGTAACGGATGAAAGTGATTTTCAGAAAGTTTTCATAAAGAATCCACTGAATGTTGGCGCAACTCTTGATACAATTGCCGACATTATAAACAAATGCCAACAGGAGCTTGACAATTTTTCCCGCTTGATAGAACAACTATTTTTCTTCCCGCCCACCCCAAGGAAATTTACCCTGCCACAGAAAGAAAAACGTTACCCTCGTCTTTGAGGCTGAAACAATTAATCGAATAACTGGAATAATTCGACGTATGCCTCGAAACTTGGCAGCGATTCTTTTTCCCACCGACTAACGTTAGTGCAGACTCGCGCATCACTCCGTTTAAATAATTTGGCACGATGGCAACAAGCCGGGAGGAAAGATTGCATAAAAGACAATGTCCAAAATTTGTGGATCCCTTTTTACCCTTAAAGAAAATCAAGTAGAACACTGCTGTCAAACTCGAGGCGCGGGGGGCCAGATCCGGCCCACCAGGTCATTTTATGTGGCCCGCGAAAGCAAATCATGTGTGTCAACTTGCTAAAATCTGTATCAAAATCTGAATTAAATAACGTTGAGATTTCGAAATAATTTTGCTACCCAGGTTACACTCACTTGAACAATAACTGAACCAACTATGATAATCGACTTGGCTGATTTCAAAACTAGTAATCTATTCATTTTTTGTGCACAAGTAATAATTTTGTGGTTTCACTGTCATAACGGTCGTAACTCCAAATTGCCCCCCGACTAAAATGAGTTTGACACCCCTGAATAGTAGAATGTGTCTCCTACAAAGCAGAAGAAACTCACTTACATCTTCATTGCCATCACAAGCTATCAATGCTAACACTACTAGCTAGAATGTATTGTTACGCACTGACTCGTGGTCATTGCTTGCTCGAGCGCTTGTCTCTGTTGCTCAGAAAGCGGGCATGGTCGAGCGAGCTACTCTGAATACGTGCTGTTAAAACCGCTCAGGAGTTGGTCAGGTCGACGGTCTTGAACAAGCGAAGGGTGTATTCCTTTTTGTATGCAGTCAGCTGAGAATCTATTAATGAACCTTGCCGTCACAAACATGGCCCTGATCCCGGGATTAGACTGACCGTTTCTGCACTGTCTGCCGCTGCCAGGATTGAGAGCAGAACATGCGAAAGTACTGAGGTGTTCTTTTTTTGTTTGTTTGTTTGTTTTAAGAGAAAAGTAATTTCTGTGTCGGCGAGAGGCAAAAACTCGAAACAGATGTTCTTCGAATGACCTGCTCTTATGTGGCTGCGGCTCAATTAGCATTTTATTCTGTGGCCGTCGTGTTCGTACGCGCGTGCGCCGGCGTACGCGCTGTCCACAGCGACTACGACGTGAATGCGTCGAGTCGAACAGAATCCGATGAGCGAGACTGTCGGCCCATCTGTTAGAAGGAAAGCGAAAGAACAGCTGGCAAGTTTATGGCGCAGAATAGTCGAGCGGTAGGACCACCGAGTAGGCAAATCGACACATACGAGACCGTCTTTGACTTGCAAACATGAGTTAATGATAAATAGAACTTACAAGGTCTGGAAGCTCGTGTTTGTTTTTCGTGTGGCCAGAAACATTTGCAAGCTGAATGGAAAATGGCTTTTTATGGTGGAGTGATAAGGTGTGACGCCCCCGCCCATGCGGGGGTGTACGTGGATGCTCTTGCAGTGTTGCCCTTCAATATTTGATAATGCTGGAAGTGGGTCACTGGGGCCTCCAGTGCATTTTCCCCCTTCTCTCTTACTAAAAAAAAAAGGACTTTTCAGAAAGATGTCAATCTTGTGAAACAGGGGTGTCAAATTCATTTTTAGTCGTGAGCCACATTAAAATTACCGTTTCCCTTGGAAGGCAGTGATGATTGAAACTGTCAAAAAGTCAAGAATAACGTTTTTGTTTCAGGAACTGTAATGAGAGGTTTGGTCACGAGAAAATGCTTAAAATATGTCACTAATTTATTACGTATGAAAATTTGAAATTTTGGGACAGATTTTAGTAGGCATCATGGAAGTTGTCATCTTTGATTTGCCTTGGCGGGCCACATTTGGCCCCCGGGCCTTGAGTTTGACACTGGTGTTGTAAACGTTTTGTTGAACTGTAATCACAATATTACAAAAGTGCAGCCCCCCCCTCCCCCAAAAAAAGTACAATACAATTAGCCATGTTTATTTTCTGTTCCTCTTCCAGTGTGTCCTGATGTCTTTTGTGTGAATTTGAACTTGTCAATATCTGAGTCATGCTCTGGCGAGGCAACGCCGAGCAATGCAACCAACCCAAACGTGTGAGTGTCCTTGTGTTAGCAATGGCGGTTGTTGCCCGATATTACTGCCGCCACTGACGTTTGACCCTGTTCAACGTCATGTGTTCACCACCTACAGCAGTTGTCCCCAAACTACGGCCCGCGGGCCGGATCCGGCCCGCCTCCGCATTTGGTCCGGCCCCCTGAAAATAACACAGAGTATTTTGATTTATTTTTCATCGATGTGGATTTGTCTTTGATCATAAAGTTGGGCTTTTGCAATAAAATATTCCTTAGTTCTGAACTGTTTTCATTATTAACTATTAATTAGTAACTATTTCATAAACACAAATACAATAAGGTGACATTTGGTGCATCTTTCTGTGCCGTTATCTGACACCGCCAGAAAAAAAAATCCGAAACCGGCCCCTCTCTCAGAGAACCGGATCATGGCGAAAAGGTTCGGCAAGAGAAAAATAGAATGCGGGGTATTTAAACCAAAGTGGACAAACGATGTTTTTGTTTTTGTTGCTTTCAGCGCAAAGAAACGTCTGTCAGTCTCAT